GCAAGTGCACAGTGTAGCAGAGCTCTTGCCAAAACACTAAAACTGTTTCTAGAAGGTGCACAGGCCCAGAAAATCCTATATCTGTGAGTTCAAAATGACTACCTGAAGAATCATAGTTACATATAAACAACCTGTTCCTTCTGGGTTTCAGTATAAAACATAATCTTTAATCAAAAGCTTAAAACACAAAAGAGTGTTTATGTCTTAATAAATACCTATGTTGTCTTAATAAATACCTATGATTCAGGTGAGATTATAAATCTAATCTCATAGACCTAAATCTAACTGCTCATTCTAATCACAATACACCCTTTTAACTGTTTGCAGAATAGTAAACCAGAGTTTGTGTGAACCCCATTGTTTCAATGGGCCTATTTTACTCAGAATTAAAATTTGCATTTAGGGCAGAAATTGCATGCTGGATTTGGTGAGCACACATCTAAATGATATCTCCCTATGGAAAGCTATTGAAAAGCATTCCTCTTTGGCAGTGCATTGTTTTGATGCAATACCTACTAGCTGTGTAACAATGGTCAACCTATATGCAGTATCTCCATAGCAGATTTCCGTAAATGGCTAGCGTGAAGAGGTTAAATAGGCTGATACATAAATTATGAAGCTGCTAATAATTTAGAGAAGAACATGACCTTGGAGTGGTGCCTGTTGATAGTTTTTGTATCAGCCTCAGAGGTTTAAAAAGACTAACACTAGTCCTCCAGTAGATTTATATGTACCCCTTTTGCTTACAGTCGGCTGTGTCTATGTCACATTGTTGAGTCATTAGTATAGTTTGCAAAGTCGCTGCCACCAAGGGACTGTTCTGTCTTCTATTCCAGTATCACTTTCTCCACACTGTGAAACTACTGACTACATTCTTGTGGGTTTTCATTGATTTAACACTGTTAAAACTGACACCAAACTAGAAAAATGCATAGTCATGTGGGACCTCTTTCAGTTTGCTCAGTGTTTAATATATGTGAGTAAGTATATAAAAACCTTGAAGGTGAAAGTAATAACTTCGGCAATTCATTAACAAGTACATTTATTTCATAGTTCCACCTGACCTATGCACAGAAAGAGTTCTTAAACAAAGAACCTAGAAGTGAAATCCACCAAGAAATTCTGAGAAGAGCAGCCAAGGACCTTCCCATCTATACTCGAACAATGTCTGGAGGTAAATGCTTATGAAGAGTGATATTCTGCTCTATCTTACTATCTTTTGATGTCAGCTAATTGATGTTGACATACAGGGCCTGTCCAGGCAGAGACTTATTGCAGAGACTTCCTCAATAAAAAGGAGGCTGTCCAGACAACATTCTGAGTAGTCCCGCATTAATTCGCTACAAACAAGGAAAGGTTGTTTTTGGATTGTAGGCCCCAGAATCCATCTCCCAGCATCATCACTACCCATGCTAAGTTGAGAGGTTCTGGAAACTTTAGTCTAAAGATAACTTTTCTCTCCTGAAGCCAGACATAATCATCTCAATCCAATGAAAGTCAATATACGTACAGAAGGAAACTTTAAAGTATACAGTCCTAGCTTGCTTGAAATCATGGCTCCAAATTTGCTGGTGCAAATGCAATTCCCTGGTTTGATAAAGTAGTTAAGGGTTGTATGGACACAGTCACGGCAGATAATTTGTGATAGCTTTGAACTGCTGCTGCAGAGACAGTTCAAGCAGTGTTCAGAAGAAACAAAGGAGAGCCCAAAAATCGAGTGCCCTTCCATATTGGGCCCTTGAGGTGGAATGGAGTAATACTGACCATTTTTAATAAGGACTTATTTCAGTGAGTCTCTTTGCAGAAAGAATATGCAGGCAGATTTTTACATTGAGTAAGCCCCTAATTAAAAATGGCCACAGCAGTATCCCTACAGAGAGACTGATACAACGGTCTGTTAAAAACGGCTGCCATCATTCTGCTTCATCTCATTTGCCGAAAATGGTAGGCACACCACATTCTTCAGGTTCCTTTATGTTGCTGCTGAATGGGTATGAAAACTGGGTGTGAAAGGAGGGAAGGCTGCCTTTCTTCAGTGGGCAATGCAGAGGTAATAAAGTGAGAGCTTCCTACACTCTTCTCTTGGGGAGATAGGCTGCTCTTTTTGCCACTTTTTATTAGCCTGAGGCACCGTTTGGACATCTCAGGCTGATCTGGAACCTATCACGGGGTTTGGTCCTGTCTGGAAGGGCCCTCGGAGAGACTTAACACTGAGTAGATGTGGAATAAACCGCAAACAAATCCTTTTCAATTGAAAAAGAAACATGAGACTCTTTGAAAAACAATTCAATGTGTTTTTTGCTTCTGTCTGTATGATATTGACATTAAGAACAGGATGTGTACAAGTTCACGTCAATGTTAAACAAAAGTCTTTTTCTGTTCTTACAGCAATCAGATACTGTGACAGATGTCAACTTGTAAAACCAGACCGTTGTCATCATTGTTCTGTCTGTGATAAGTAAGGCTAAGAAACATTTTATCATATTACTGAAGAAAGTAAATCATTAATATATATGCATGAAATCTATATAAATAAAAACATAATGTTCATTTGTGAGATTAACATAACTCAAAAACCACTGGACAAATTGGCACCAAATTTGGACACAGTACACCTATCAGGCCAACAAGTGACCATTACTCAAAAAAAAAACCCACTGAAAAACTCAGAAGAGACTTTAAAGCCAAAAACTAAAAAAATACGTTAGAACCCATGTGCTAAACCACTTCTATACACAAACACACATATATACACATATACACAAATATATACACCCACATCTATGGATATATATGCACACAAACACATATACACAGACTGAGCCACAGCAACGCGTTGCAAGGGGCAGCTAGTACTATATAAATTATATATTTACAAATACTTTAATGTATTTATTATAGCAATTGTATAATTAAGTATATATTTAGTAAAAATAATTATTTCCATTTAAAGCAGTGAATATTATTTCAGGATGCGTTCTTGTCACTATTAACATTTGAATAACCAAATTATCTCAGTGAGACTTTTGCTAGATTAAATTATTGAGAAATTATTTCTTTACTACATGATGTCCCAAAAATGAATCCCTATATTGGAAGAAAGGCGGGATAAAAATAAAGCAAATCAATCAATTAATTGAAAATATATACAGTATATCCTTAATAGAATGAAAATGAACGCAAAATTACAAGAGGAACCTTTAAGTAACTTTGTGTCAACAATGTGAGCAGTTCAGTGCTGTATGGGGATGACAGTTTGAATCCTTCACATAAGATTGTAATGTAAGATGAAATTTCTAACTGATTAAATAATTATTATAATATTTATTCTTTCATATAAATTTATTTACTTAGCCTTGAAATAATCACTATGGCTACTATTAGCTTCTAAAAGGAGTATCATTTTTGGTGGTGATACCCTGTATTTTGGAGTATTGCATTTGATAGAGGCTATTAGTACATAGATAAAGGATATTCCTACATGGGACTTAAGGAAGGTATACACTGTAACTATTAAGGAAGGACGGTTTTGATGACTTGCCTAAGATCACTTGTTGATTTCCATGGTCAAGTGAGGATCTGAATCCTGTTCTTCAGATATGGAATCCAACACTCAAACATCAAGCTTTTTATGGGATAATATATCTGGACCTCTACTTTGACTGAAATATTTGAAGCACATGAGTTTGTGGCTGTTGCTTGCAGTAAAATCTAGATGAATCATGAGCTAAGATCTCACTGCAAGATAACGGGAACGAAACCCCTTAAGGAACATGCAGCAGAAAGAAATAATGTAATGTGAGTCACGTCTGTGTCAGACTAGAAAGTAAGAATTAAGCTACTACCTTAAATGACAATGGAATTTTGAGAGGGTGATCTCATGACGCTGATTTGATTTTGAGGAAATTTTATTTTAAAGTTGTGATTAACTTCCTACATTGATTTCACACTGTGAATAACTTGGTCTAAATCCACCCCATGTTTGTTACTTGTATATCTATGTTTTCTATAACTACGTCACTTTAGTATTCAAAAATTATTTCTGTTGAACATCCAGCAGAATAAATGATGTTGTTGTTTTTCTTTCAGGTGCATTTTGAAAATGGACCATCATTGCCCTTGGTAAGCAATATGTTAACTTATATCAGTTTGGAATAGATAAGATGCTAAGGAAGTAAGGCTCTTTCTGGGTGATGAAAAAAACAATAATAAAGGCCAAGATTGATGCTGGTTTCAAGTGTAAATCACAAAGGTTGTAGTCAAAGATTTTTAATAGTGTTGTAAGAGGTAGCACTGGTACAGATCTATTTCTGTAGTATTTTGTGGTGGTTGCTGTGCAGTTACAGTGGTGGCTTGACTTGAGCCCGGATCTGTTTTTAGCCATTTCCTTTGGCTTACTTCAAGTGTCCGTAATGGCAAGGGCCCAGCCATCACGAATTTCTGTCCATAACGGGATCACATGGCAGGCGATCTCGGCTCCTCCTCTCCTATTTGGCATCACAGTTTAATCTTTTTTACTTTCCTTTATTTTCTTGATTCTTTTTATTTAGTGGGACTGACTGGGAGTTGGGGATGGGTGGGTGGGATGGGAGAGTCACCTTTTTAGCTTTTTTTCTCCTTCCCTTCCTCTCCTTCAAGAGAGGAAGGGAAGGAGATTATTGTTGTTGTTGTTGTTATTAATCCCAGCAAATAAAAATAAAAGCGCCATTATCTGAAAACTACTACCACCTAGTTACCTCTCCTCTAGAGTAGAAAGTAGAAACAGCTTTAAGGAAGCATTAAGGACGCAGGTTCGCAGCTTGGGAGTGATCCTGGACTCATCGCTGAGCCTGGAAGCCCAGGTCTCGGTGGTGGCTGGGAGAGCTTTTGCACAATTAAAACTTGTGCGCCAGCTGCGCCCGTACCTTGGGAAGTCGGATCTGGCCACGGTGGTCCACGCTCTTGTTACATCCCGATTGGATTACTGCAATGCACTCTACGTGGGGTTGCCTTTGAAGACTGTTCGGAAACTCCAACTAGTCCAGCGGGAGGCAGCCAGACTGCTCACCAGAGCGTCATACAGGGAGCATACCACCCCCTGTTATGTCAGCTCCACTGGCTGCCGATCCAGTTCCGAGCACAATTCAAAGTGCTGGTTTTGACCTACAAAACCCTATACGGTTCAGGCCTAGTGTATCTGTCCGAACGCATCTCCCTCTACGTCCCATCTCGGAGTTTAAGATCTTCTGGGGAGGCCCTGCTCTCGACCCCGCCTCTATCACAAGTGAGATTGGCGGGGACGGGGAGCAGGGCCTTCTCGGTGGTGGCCCCACGCCTATGGAACTCTCTCCCCGGGGAAATCAGATCTGCAACCACGCTCCTTTCCTTCAGGAGAAAACTAAAAACATGGATCTGGGACCTGGCATTCGGACAAGCGGGTAAATAAAGAAGAACTCCATTGATGGCTAGGAAATGACTAACGGATTGGTCATGTGGAACTCTGGAAACGAAACGCTGATTATAAGAATTGACTTTTATAGGATGTTTTATATGATGTTTATACAATGTCTCAGGTACCAGTTGTTGATGTTTTATTGTGTTTATAGTTTTAATTGCATTTTTTGTATATTGTTCTTTTATATTTTTGTATACTATGTATTGTGTATAGGCATCGAATTCTGCCTTTTCTGTAAGCCGCCCTGAGTCCCCCTTTGGGGGTTGAGAAGGGCGGGGTAAAAGTACCAGTAATAAATAAATAAATAAATAAATTAAACCCAAAGCAGAAAGCAGCCTGCAGTAGAGAAAAAAGAGATATTTTAAAGGAAACTTAAGGATAGCTCCAAGTCATCCCTCTTAGAATCATAGAGTTGGAAGAGACCTTGTGGACTATCCAGTCCAATCCTCAGCCAAGATCAGGAAAATCGCATTCAAAGCACCCCAGACAAATGGCCATCCAGCCTCTGTTTGTTGTTGTTCATTCGTTCAGTCGTCTCCGACTCTTCGTGACCTCATGGACCAGCCCACGCCAGAGCTCCCTGTCGGCCGTTACCACCCCCAGCTCCTTCAAGGTCAGTCCAGTCACTTCAAGGATGCCATCCATCCATCTTGCCCTTGGTCGGCCCCTCTTCCTTTTCCTTCCACTTTCCCCAGCATAATTGTCTTCTCTAGGCTTTCCTGTCTCCTCATGATGTGGCCAAAGTACTTCAACTTTGTCTCTAGTCTCTTTCCCTCCAGTGAGCAGTCGGGCTTTATTTCCTGGAGGATGGACTGGTTGGATCTTCTCGCAGTCCAAGGCACTCTCAGCACTTTCCCAACACCACAGCTCAAAAGCATCGATCTTCCTTCGCTCAGCCTTCCCTAAGGTCCAGCTCTCACATCCGTAGGTGACTACAGGGAATACCATGGCTTTGACTAGGCGGATCTTTGTTGCCAGTTTGATGTCTCTACTCTTTACTATTTTATTGAGACTGGACATTGCTCTCCTCCCAAGAAGTAAGCGTCTTCTGATTTCCTGGCCACAGTCTGCATCTGCAGTAATCTTTGCACCTAGAAATACAAAGTCTGTCACGGCCTCCACATTTTCTCCCTCTATTTTCCAGTTGTCAATCATTCTTGTTGCCATAATCTTGGTTTTTTTGACGTTTAGCTGCAACCCGGCTTTTGCGCTTTCTTCTTTCACCTTGATTAGAAGGCTCCTCAGCTCCTCCTCGCTTTCGGCCATCAGAGTGGTGTCATCTGCACATCTGAGGTTGTTAATGTTTCTTCCAGCAATTTTCACCCCAGCTTTGCATTCATCCAGCCCCGCACATCGCATGATGTGTTCTGCATACAAGTTAAAAAGGTTGGGTGAGAGGATGCAGCCTTGCCGGACGCCTTTCCCAATCTTGAACCACTCTGTTGTTCCATGGTCAGTTCTTACTGTTGCTACTTGGTCCTTGTACAGATTCCTCAGGAGAGAGACAAGGTGGCTTGGGATGCCCATCCCACTAAGAACTTGCCACAATTTATTATGATCCACACAGTCAAGGGCTTTAGAATAGTCAATGAAGCAGAAGTAGATGTTTTTCTGAAACTCCCTGCCTTTCTCCATTATCCAGCGGATATTGGCAATTTGGTCTCTCGTTCCTCTGCCTTTTCTAAACCCAGCTTGAACATCTGGCAACTCTCGCTCCATGTATTGCTGGAGTCTTCCTTGCAGGATCTTGAGCATTACCTTACTGGCATGAGAAATAAGGGCCACTGTACGGAAGTTGAGCAGTCTTTCGCATTTCCCTTTTTTGGTATGGGGATATAAGTTGTTTTTTTCCAGTCTGATGGCCATTCTTGTGTTTTCCATATTTGCTGGCAAATGGCATGCATCACCTTGACAGCATCATCTTTTAAGATTTTAAACAGTTCAGCTGGGATCCCGTCATCTCCTGCTGCCTTGTTGTTAGCAATGCTTCTTAAGGCCAATTCAACCTCACTCCTCAGGATGTCTGGTTCTAATTCATTCACCACACCGTCAAAACTATCCTCAATATTATTATCCTTCCTATACAGATCTTCTGTATAGTCTCGCCACCTTCTCTTGATCTCTTCAGCTTCTGTTAGGTCCCTGCCATCTTTGTTTCTTATCTTACCAATTTTTGCCTGAAATTTACCTCCAATGTTTCTAATTTTCTGGAAGAGGTCTGTTGTCCTTCCTATTCTGTTGTCTTCTTCCACTTCCATGCATTGCTTATTTAAAAATAGTTCCTTATCTCTTCTGGCTAACCTCTGGAATTGCGCATTTAACTGGGCATATCTCCCCTTATCACTGTTTCCTTTTGCTTTCCTCCTTTCTTGGGCTACTTCCAGTGTCAGCAGACAACCATTTTGCCTTCTTGGTTTTCTTTTTCTTTGGGACGTACTTTGTTGCCGCCTCCTGAACAATGTCTCGGACTTCTGTCCATAGTTCTTCTGGGACTCTGTTTACTAAATCTAGTCCTTCTGGGACTCTGTTTACTAAATCTAGTCCTAGCCTCTGTTTACAAGCCTCAAAAGAAAGAGTCTCCACCACATTCTGGGGCAGAGGCTCTCCCTTCCTTCCCTGGGCCTTCTTAAAATGCTTTAGAAAGCTGTGTGACGTGCTAAAGGGTCAGAAAGAGCATGCCTGCAGCGATTCTCCTCTAGAGTAAAAAACAGCTTTAGTAAGGCATTAAACCCGGTCTCCTCTACAGACAGAAGGGAAAAGACTGCAGAAAGAGTGGTATCTTTAAGGCTTTTAATCCAGGTCTTAATGAAGGATATGGAAGTCTCCCCCATAAGGGGCCAGACAGGGTGCTTTCTTAACCCCGTTGCTGACACCAGGCTCCCTTAAAAGAAAAAAGGAAAAGGGTCCCAGGAATGGAAAGGGGAGCCTCGTAAGTTCCCCATTGCCACTAGTGGGCCTGATCTAGCCGCATTTTTCGGCTACAGAATGAAAACTGCTATCTGGCTACCCACCCGTTTTCAGGAGGTGTGCGAAAACGGATATGGGGGTCTACTGGTATCCAGCCAGCAGAGACGAATCAAGATACAGCTGAAATTCACAAGCCTAGTGGTGACTGTACTGGGGTGGGATCATCTGTTTGCTGTTTTCTCCCATTTTTAAAAAAATAAACATTATTCAAGACAGATGTGTGTTATGTTAGAGAGGAGATACACACAGACTAATACAGAGGAAGATAAAGGCATCTTGGAAAATGACAGAGGATTGTTAGGGAATAGGAAAATAAACATATATGTGCTCTTAGTGTTCTATTTTCAACTTGAGACATCCTACGGAAATGGTTCTACAAAAACCACTCAGGAACTTCAAAGGACAAGAGATGTTTCAAAAACTGCCATTATTAATCAGCATTCTGAGATATTTTAGTTTAGAGTAATTTGGGGCGTAAGGAGTTGAACCTGCTGATCGTGATGGAAGAAATATGACAAATAAGAATGCATTATTGCATGTGTGTATTTTTTGTGCTTTATCCTTTCTTTCTTTCTCCTAGGGTGAACAATTGTGTTGGGTTTTCCAATTACAAGTTTTTCCTTCTTTTTCTGGCATACTCTCTGCTATACTGCCTTTTCATTGCTGCAACTGATTTACATTATTTTATCCGATTCTGGACAGTAAGTCTTTCAAAAGTTTAAATCTGTAACTGTAAATGTTTTGACTATTATCTTTAGGCTATAATCCTAAATAGAAGTACAGGTGTGCAAGCTGAATAAAGTTCTAATGTTAATTTGCATGATTATCCAATGATTTCTAGACTGCATTTAGAGAGAGCAAAAACCCTAGTTATACAAGGGTTTTTTTCATGTTGTGTTTGTACATTGTTATGGTCAGTGATTGTGTCTTTGGACAAGGAGGGAGATATATCCATCAACCTATTATTACATTAATAGCCGTCAACTCATTATTACAGTAACGATCAACTAATTAATTACATTTTCACAATCAGCTTATTATTACAGTTGCATTATCATTTTCAGAAGCTGACAGTAATTGTAAAAAAATGTTTAATGAATGAACAACAAAAAGGTGAAAATATTAAGATTTGAGTGCACCTTAGGGAGCTAGTGCAGCCCCAGCCTCTTAAAATTACCCACTTTGACATAAAGTGGACAGGGGAGGAACAAGTGTGGATATTGTTTCTTAATTGCTATGGCATCCACTCTGGAGAAAGAATCTCCTAAATGATCTCTGAATACAGTACTTTGGAGAAAAATAACTTCTTTGTCCTATTTTTGCTTTGATAGCTGCCTTGTGCTGGTCAGTGACCATAATAAAAGTTTTGTATTGCATTGCATTGCATTGCATTGATAGCTGCCTTTTAGCAGCAGGAACATTGCTGAAATAACTTTGTTGGAGTCTGTCAATTTTGTGTTTGTAATACCTCTTGATTTTTCTACCTATCAGTACTTTGCATTGCCCCCCCCCCCATTTTTCTGATCTTTTTCTAATCCTTCCACACCTTGCATATTTTTTTTATTTAATTGAGGGAGTGAACACGTCTTGAAGTAGGAAATTACACACACTCCATCTTTTTGGCCCTAGTTTTTAAAGTTACTTTTGCTATCATTTTTCAGTGTTGTTCATTTACTTTATATACTCATGTATAAGTCTAGAAGTTTTTTGTCAAGAAAAATCACTCCAAAAACCTGGATCCACTTACCTACATGGAGAGCAATCCCCTTCTCTGAGTAGAGTGGCAAAAAGTCACTTAGTCCATCCTGGGGGAACGTAAACAAAGCATCAAGTCTACTCTCTCCCCTTTGGCACCGCTTTTGGCCCTTTTTAATGCCTCCATAAGGAAATGTTGGAGGTAGCCAGGGACAGCTGACCTCCTGACGTTGCATTGGTGCTTTCCCTTCACCATGGTATAACCCTCAACATCCATGGATCACACCAAAATCCATAATTTTGGTCCCAAAAACTTTCCTTGACTTATATTAGGATAAACTTATACACAAGTATATACAATACTTCATTTTAAAATGTTTTCCCTCGTTTCTGCCTGTACTGTATGCGGACCGCATTCAAATATACAGACACAAAGTACCGGTGATTCTTAGTTCATCAGTCACAAGCACTACATTCAGGTCACAGGCACTACATTACAAATGAAAAGCAGCAAACGCATTAGCACAATTTAGGCATTAAAAAGTAAACTTTAAAGGTATCCACAAAATCCCTCAACTTATCTATGTAGAGGTTTAAATCCCTTATCAAAGATTTAGTGTACTAAAGTGACAAAATAACATAGTGTTTTCCATGCAAATTAGTGGGTTACAAAGATTCAGATTTCGAAAGTTTGTTTGGATTCAGATCCAAATCATGTCTGAAAATATCTAAACTGAATTAAAGCCTCGCACAAAGTTAAAATTCAAGTAGCTGTTATGTAGATAGTTACTTCATGTATCTGATAATTGCCTAGAAATCTGACAAACATTAAAATTGCATGTACTTCATCACTATCCTAAGTGTTCAGTTGTTCCGTCTGACTTCTAGGATTAATAACTACCTGTTTCAATTAATGGAGTGTGTGTTTGTGTGTAGGAAATGCACACAGGATTGATCTCTTCACTGAAATATTTAGAGAAGCGTTTTCAGTGTAGGGGAAATCATAGGTGCTTCTTTATTTGAAGGGATAGCTAGACTGGAAGTTCTGTGGATTTCATTTTAGAGATATTTCTATCAGTCTTTCTGGATCAACTACTCTGTAGCTGATCAACTATGAAGATGTGGTGTTTTTAGAAGAGTATGCTGGCTTGACCGTTTTTGTAAAAGCTGTCTACATTTTTGTTTAATTAGTGCTTAATTAGTTTATTGCATTTAAGTTCTATCTTTTCTCCACAAAATGATGCTCAAGACAGCCAATAGTCATAAAAGCTATTATTAAATTATATATTGTTATATAGGCCCTCTGAAAAGACCTGCCTTAGAATGTCTCCATGACTTTGCTCTAGTGCCCTCTTGTGATAGTTTGCCAACACTGCAATGTAGCAGATCATTTTAAAAGTGGATTTCTGAATTTGTAACCCTGCCAATCTGTTACCAACAGGTACATTTTTAAGTGTAACTCCAGCCAAACAGATATAATTGAGATAAGACTTATATTATATTTGCTTTGTTTAGCATAGAGAAGGGTTAACACCCCTGTGGTGTTTGTTTTGCTATCTGTGCCCCTGTTCAGAATATTTAATTATAATAATTGGATTTTGAAAAAAAAATGACTTGTTGTGAAAACAAGGATTGGTGATAAAGCTTCAATGGAGACACCTTTTCCCCATGATAAATTTTTCAGGAGTGAATTTTCCTTCCTAGGAGTAGATTCCTCTCACTTCCTGTTGTTTCACCCCCGTTCTTAACTTTGAGTCATTACAAATATAAGTTGGATGTTTGTAATTCAGGGACTGCCTGTATATAGTTTTCGATGTCAGTAACTTTAAACTCCATTAAGTCAGTGAACTGTTTTAATAATATCAAACCAAAATCCTTTAGCAAACAAGTACATTCAACATTGGTAAAAAAAATATCTCTTTCTAATGTTTTTGAAAAGGTGTGTAGATTCCAATTAAAGAAATGTTTAGAAATTGTATACCATCATGTCAGAGTTCAATCAACTGTTTTGAGTACATGTATATCCAAAGATCATGTCAACAATTCTTGTTTTCTTCCTTTCTTTTTTTCTAGAATGGCCTTCCGGATACACAAGCCAAGTTCCATATCATGTTTTTATTCTTTGCTGCAGCCATGTTTTCTGTCAGCTTGTCTTCTCTCTTTGGCTATCACTGTTGGCTAGTCAGCAAAAACAAATCAACATTAGGTAAATAATTAAACATTCATTTTGTTTGGGTTCCACCATTTCTGTTAAAGTGTATGCAGGCTTAAACTTGTTAACAAACATGAACATACTTCATTTTTAGAGGCATTCCGAGCGCCTATTTTTCGACATGGAATAGACAAGAATGCCTTTAGCTTGGGTTTCACCAAAAATCTAAGACAAGTCTTTGGAGATGAGAAAAAGCTTTGGTTGTTGCCTGTTTTTTCTAGGTAAGTGATATTTAAAAGATAATTATTTCCATACTTGATAGTGTAAACCAAATTATGTTTTGAAACTAATTGTTTTGAAGAGTTTTTAATATTGCTATTTTTTTTACTTTCAGCCAAGGAGATGGGTGTTCCTTTCCAACCTGTCTTGTTAACCAAGATCCAGAACAAGCTGTATCTCCACCAGGACGTAGTAATCTAAACAAAAAGTAAGCCTGCATCTATTACTCATCATACTTGCTCCTTACTTCATTTGTTGTATATTGGTTGTGGCTTGGGTAGCAGTCATATATTTTTAAATGTACATTGGTATATGAATGGGATTGTTACTTAGTTTCACGGTATCCAAATCATTATTATCTGCAGTCTCTACAGACAAGATAGATAACTGTAGATAGCATTCATCAGCATTAGTTTAAAACAGGCCTGCACAACTTGACAGTAGTAAGGGGCCAAAATTAAAATAGACTAAAACTCTTTGGGATGCAGATAGGTTTTTAGTGCCTCACTCAGGGTTTGCGGGGGTGCCTTTCCATCAGAGGAAGCAGCAAAGCAGATTAACCTCATTTTGTCAACCTTCCCTCAGGGTGATGGCAGACTATAGTCCTTTCCTGAGGGAAAGAAGAAGTGCCTCAGCTCTTGCCTCCACTGCCTCTCCTTTCTCTTTGCCTCTTGGTTGCCTCTGTCATATCCTTTTCCTATGGAGGGAAAAACTGCCACCTCTACACCATTTATTTCCTTCACTTGTTAGAGAGAAACGTAACTTCACTATGAAGACCCCTCAGCAACTTCATGGTGAAGCTATAGTTCTTCCTCAAGGGTGATGGCAATGAATGGCAGGAAGCTTCTGGTTTTTCCCACCAGAGGAGGAGACGACGAAGGCAACCCAGAAGCAAAGAAAAAGGACCAGCGGTATAGTCACGTTTCTCTCTCACAAGTGAATGGTGCAGAGATGACAGTTATGCCGCTGGATTATTTATTTATTTATTTTTATCCTGCTTTTCTCCCATGAGTGGGACTCAAAGTGGCAAATAAATTGAAACCGACAGAAATTACATGACACAAATTAAAATAACTGATAAACAGATATCACAATTACATAAGCCATAGACAACAAAGTTAATAAATATTCCGCTAAAATTCCCTGGACCTCAAGCCATTGAGGTCATTCATTAAAAAATTATATTAAAAATCCTAACGCTCTGTATATTTCATGCTCTCAGACATCCATGTGGACAATTTTGGATTTCTGGGTAAGGGATGCTCAACCTGTAAAAATGCTTCTGTAGCCAAGTGTATGAAAGGTCACACCTTCTGCTATACAATGTCTTCAAAAATAAACAAAGAAATAAATTATGTTCTTTATGGCCCAGATGCTCATCCCTGATTTTGTCACTGTCCCTTCATCTGCTGCTTTGGAAGGCCATTTAGAGGCCATCTGGACTCAGATTTAGCCATAGCTACACCACATCACAACCTAAAATGTAGACAGTCTCACTTCTCTCCTGGATGAAAGGAGACAACAGAAGCAAAGAGAAAGAAAAGGCGGCAGAAGGAAGAACTATGGCCATGCTTCTTTTCCACCTCCTCCTCTCTCTATAATGGCCAATCTAATGTTCAATTGTAACATAACCAGGAGTTCAAGATTCCAGTCTCCCTGAATAAATTTATTTATTATTTACTTATTTTAAATATTTGTATCCTGCCATTCTCAACCCCCAGGGGGGTGGGGGACTCAGGGTGGCTGATACTTCTTCAAATTTCATCAGCTTCCCCAAGCCATATTTCCAAACAAGACCAGCACTTCCAGCATCCTGACTAGAGAACTCATCAGATGTGCCGCCAGAATTGCCACACGAATCGTGCAGTGCCCGGCAAGGGAAATCGTCACCTCACACCTCGCATTGCCCAGCTTCCCCCAATCTCCCCACGAGGGGAAGGATCCACTGCCCAACTTCCCCCCATTTACTCCTATTGAACATGGGAAGCCTCCCGTGTTGTCCTGGAGCCCCACCGGGAGTAGTTTTACATCATGGGAGGGAGTTGGCAGCCTCCATCATAAAACTATCGAGGAACCAGTGCATGCTGCCAAAAATTACCCTCTCTGATGAGGTTATGGATTTATTGGTAGTGGTGTTCCCTTTGTCACTGGTTAGTTTGGTAACTTTGATGCATACAGTAAGGAAACATGTAGAGATAGAACACTTGGAGGAGGAAATGGCGGATTCCGATTGCTACTCCGCTGTCACTCTGTGTGTGACTTCCCTCGCTAAGGCTTAGCTCAGAGCCTTTGCAGGCCACATAAAATCCTTGTATGGGTCACATCCAGTCCCCAGGTTGTATGTTGTGCAGGTCTGGTTTAAAACAAACACACAAAATTTGTCTTTTTATCAATAGAGGACAGCATTGGTTATGCAGTTGCACAGGCAATGTGATGTGGTTTGACTCTGGAGACTACAGTTGAATCTTCACTTGGCCATGGTGACCTTGGGCAAGTTACACTTTCTGAGCCACAGAGGAAGGCACAGAAAAACCCACTCCAAACAAATCTGACCAAGAAAAAACCTATGACAGAGTCACCATAAATCAGAAATGATTTGAAGGCATACAACAACAAACCTCAATGCAGAGAAAAGGATGCTAATTGTGATTTTGAAAATATATGAATATTTATTTATTTATTTATTTATTTATTTACTTGCAACATTTATATGCTGCCCTTCTCATCCCAAAGGGGACTCAGAGTGGCTTACAAAATATATATACATACAATATATTATGTTATTAGCATGGTTTAATATCAGTATTAAATATTACTATATCGTACTATACCATTATATTGTAATATTATTAGTAATATTACATGTAATATAAATATATAATTATAATATCATATTATCATTAGTATTATATTGCATTACATTATAATATTATCAATATTATATGTATATACAATATATTATATTATATTATATTATATTATATTATTATAACTGGCTCTTCGATTCTTACTTTCAGCCAAGGAGATGGGCGTTTCTTTCCAACCTGTTTTGTTAACCAAGATCCTTAAATCTTACTCAAAGTTGTAACTTGCTTTTCTCTTATTCTTCCCATTTTACTAATGTAAAGCAGAATCCTTGTCCATTGTTTTCCTTAATCAAGCACTAGCTTGCCAGCTGGCAGGACAATTGATAGAATTAAACCTAATCAAAGCACTGTTTCATTACCTTATTAGGTGTCAACAGGCATAAAAGTAATGTTAGATTTAAGCAACGCAATATGGATAGAGAGGGTTTTGTATTAATTTCCCCAGCCATGTTATAAAATACTAATTCAGTAGCAAGAGAGCAAAATGGGGTTTATTGCTATCCATTTAGGACTTCTTTTCTCACAGTGTCCAGTAATTGGTATCACAAGGTACACGCTCTTCTGAAAGCCACTGTTCATGGAATAGAGCTGTATAGAGTATGCAAAGTTTTGAGCCCTTGAGGTATGAGCTTAAATAGAAAAAGAAGAAATAGTGTCTTCTTAAAGAACCATCTTAAGACTTGTCATGTGGAAAAAATGTAAATATTATGTATCTCATATTTACTTACAGCCAGATGTCTTCATTCGTTCCCAGTAAACAGAGACATGATATTTATGTAAAGATTAACATCTGTTTTCCCAGATATTTAAAGAGATTAACACTAATAATATGAGGCTAAGAATTCCTTTGCTTTCCTATATTAACAATGGAAAATACAATCCCAGCTCTTATAAGAATTTTTAAAAATAATAATGTATGTATAACTATATCTGCTTATATGTAAATGATTAGCACTTTAAAGCTGTTGTTCAATATATATGTGGAGCTTGTTTTCAAGAGGTCCCATATCGATCTAAACAAATTTTACAGAAATTAGGGGGGAAATGGGCTGAGGTTATGCATTCTGTTGTCAGAGGCTTTCATGGCCGGAATCACTGGGTTCCTGTGAATTTTCCAGGCTGTATGGCCATGTTCCAGAAGCATTCTCTCCTGATGTTTTGCCTACATCTATGGCAGGCATCCTCAGAGGTTGTGAGGTCTGTTGGAAACTAGGCAAGTGAGGATTGTATATCTGTGGAATGTCCAGGGTGAGAGAAAGGTGACCAATTGCAGCATTCACACCTGCCTCATGTAGACAAGAGTTCTTTCTCCCACCGTGGACATTCCACAGATATACAATCTTCACTTACCTAGTTTCCAACAGGCTTCAGAATCTCTGAGGATGCCTGCCATAGATGTGGGCGAAATGTCAGGAGAGAATGCTTCTGAAACATGGCCATACAGCCTGGAAAACTCAGAGAAACCCAGAAATGCATTCTTTTGCTATAAAATGCGCATTTTCCAAGTCATGTACTGAAATGATTGTTGCATTTTGATCTGCAGATATTCTACTCCTTTCCAACAATGTCCTGCCACCTAATTAATGAAAATGTCATTCATTTTCATTAATTATTATGAATTAAGTACTTTTTGAAACCAAACTCCACATATTTTTAAGTATGTATGTATATATTCACTTAGTTTATACCCTGCCTTTGTCTTGGCAAGCACTTACAAACATTTAAAACAAATTCTAGTTAAAATTGTATTTAGAAAAATTAAAAAAACAAACAATATATGAATTTATATATTTTCAAAATGTAGAAACAAAGCACATAGACCTTTACATAATTTTGCCATTGCATTAGCAGCTGCATGGTTTTTGGGTTAAAGAGCAAGCATTGTATCTAATCATTTATGCAAAATACAGTTGGTTATGTCAATCGGATGATCAGTCATTTGCATAAATGGTTACAACTTGTTATATGGCTGCTTTGCATGACCACTGGCACAGTCATTATTCCAGTGAAATTATACTGTCCTAGCTGTACTAGGTTTAAATTAGATATTTGCCCGATTCATAAGTAATGGCGCTCCATGCAGTCATGCTGGTCACATGACCTTGGAGGTGTCTACGGATAACGCCGGCTCTTTGGTTTAGAAATGGAGATGAGCACCATCCCCCAGAATTGGACACGACTAGACTTAATGTCAGGGAAAACCTTTACCTTTCATAAGTAAATTATTAGTGAGCTGGAATATTTATAGAACCAAGCGTGACATGTCTGTAATTAAATTTCTCACCTTACCTGAAACAGTACAGCATTTTAATAATGCAGCTATATCATTACTCTTCCTTTAACATCCTGTCATTTATTAACAGTGAGAATAATCCTCATTTTCCTTCTAAACCATTGCGAGATTCCCAAAGCCACCTTCTTACTGATAGCCAGTCTTGGACAGAAACCGGTGCAAATGCTGAAAAGAACAAACTTGGTAAGATATAAATGTTTTTTGTATACTAGGTGGCTTGCAAAACTAACTGAGTGTTCATGAAAGAAAATGATATGTACAGAACATAAGGACAAAATTAATGGGGAACATTAAGAATGTTCATCTCTCGGGGTAAACTGTTAGATAATTGATCAATATTTTATGTTACATTGTTTATATATAATTACTCTATATTTAGCAGAACTTGTTAATTACATTTAACTATCCCTTTACGTTGAATTTAAAATATTAAGAAAACAAATATTTCTTTATTCATTTATGTGCACCTCCAGTCCAGACCTTGCTTCCAATCACACAACAATTTGAACAATATTTGGAAGAAGTGGATCCTCAGTATTGACCAAGATACCCTGCTGTTATCTCCTATCAGAATGATGTTCTCTCTGATCAGATATAACAGCAGGAATCTCTGTTATCATCTCTTGGTCAGATATAACAGCAGGACTCCCTTTGTGTGTCACACATTGTCCCAACCAGGATGGCAAGGAGCTCACGAAACAAGCCTTTGGGGGGGAAGGGGTATTCATTTTCTTTACTCAGGTAATCACAGAGAAAGCACAAATAAGTGTAGAAAATAGTCCATGATGATGTAAAGAAAATATTTGAATTTGGCTTCCAAAGGTAAATTGTTTGGCCCCGTAGTTTTAGATAACTCAGGGTAGTTCTAGACAACTCTTTAACCCGGGAGCAATCATGTTTTAAAAACGCAGGTGTTCCCAGGTTCTAGTCCATTCCCTCCATCAGAAAACATGTGCTTTTCTGGAGGGAGGGGAGGTCCACATGCCCTTCGGGCTTTCCAGCAGGACAGCCCTTTAAAAAGCCTTTAAAAAAGGAAAATAACTCACTCGACCGCCATTTTCTCTTCTCTGGAGTTCTCCTGCATCATACCAATGACGCGCCAAGAGAAGAGAGGGCCAGGAATGATTGCCCACTCCCCGCTTCTCTTGACACATCATTGGTATGACCCAGGAGAACACCAGAGAAGGGGAAATGATGGCTGGGTGAGTTATTTTCCTTTTTAAAAGGCTTTTTAAGGGGTTTTGGGAGGGAGTGGGGGCTTCATCAGCCTAAGAAAACAGACAGATGTGTAGATGGGCACTGGAAGTCACGCGGTACCATCCCTGGTCCCATCTACACAGACAAATTACCTTGGCACATTCATTTTTCCGTGAAGTGTCGTCTGGACGCCCCAGGGGGAAACATGGGAGGGCACGCACTATTGGTGCTATCTGGATGCGCCCTCAGATATCTTCTATCTTATAAGTTCTTTAAGTGTTTATATTTAATCAGAAGTCTTTTTCCCCATTGCTGTACAACCAAGAAAGATGCTCAATCCTAAATTGTTTGATTCCATGATGTGTTCCTTGGTCTAGGTCTGACATAAAAGTAAACCATAGCTTAATGTTACTTCTATTTTCTATTATTAAACATTTTGTTTCTGTTTTATTATTATTCTATATATTACGAAACAAAAAAGCTTGATGTCTTGGTTTTTAGGACAGTTCCTGGGGTGGTTTGGGGGATTGATTCAGAAAATTGCATTGGATGGACCACATCTGCTCTAGCTTCTTAAATACGGCTATTATGATAGGGGAGAACCGATGCCATTTTTGGAATCAGCAGGTCAAGTATACCCAGAAACAGGTCTAACATTAGAGGCACCAAAATGTGTGTTTGACAATGTTGTTATTGTTCAAATCTTCCTGATTGCTTTATTGAAAAAAAAAAGCTGCCTTTCAAATTACGGATTGGTCAGTTAAACACAGTTTAGCTTTTGCTTGTGAAATGGAAATAGAAACTACTGGTCTTAATGTAGCTACACACCAAAGCATCATATAATGTTGTGTGAGAGACCTAGCTCTGTCTGTTGACTGTACCATCTTTAGACCATTATGGAATCAATGTGATATTGGAATATGTTATTGGGTTTAGACACATGTGTGTCAAGACTTTTACCATGATTTTTGTTTTGGTTAATATACGTTTAAGTTTTCATAGCAGCTGATAGAATATCTAGCAAGAGATTATTGGTTAAATACAGGGTGAGGCATAAAGATCTCCCATATTTCGAGGGGGGGTTATGTGAACTGTAGTGAGGGTAGAGATTAAGTCTAATTTGGTAGGTTAGGCTCTGTAATTTTCCGTACCCATCATAACTTGAACTGGTGAACATTGGGACCACTATATGATAATGACATGGAGAGTGTTCTGGACATGTTTTGAGTTTGGCTGACATATATCAGGACAGAAGACAATTTTGCTATAGATTTCTAATCTTCAGGCAACTGGTTCCACACTGAAAAGAAAATCCCTGGCAGACCTAGAACCCCATCAGAACCCCAGAAATGTGGAAGCAATAAATGCATTCAGTCAGCAGTTGCCAAGGGTTATAAGCATGACATGGTCCTGGGGATATCAAGTCAGACTTGGAAGAGGATTCTGCATGCTGATTTAAAACTGCATTTTTACGCAATGATTTGTCTGATTTTTCAAACTCAAAACAAAACTGTGTTATGTACATTTCAGAAATATATATATATTTCTTCATTTTTATACCCCTTCAAAATGTGGGATATCTTTATACCCCAACTTGTCCTCTCTTTATTTTTGGCTGCATACTGTGCTGTTTGTATAACCAATTTTTGGAGATTAGGCATCAACTAAACAATGACTTCAGCAGTTGTTCCTGAAGAGACATAGAAATATATTGATGATGCTGATCAATACAAAAAACAAAGACTCACTATTGAAAAGTATTATTTTTTTCCCAAAGGTACAAGCAATCCTGCACTAACAATAGAAAATGAAACTTAGTCTTGCAAGTAAAAACAAGAAATCCTGGATTTTCCAAGTAAGTTTCCAAAAAAATCCTTTATTGACTTTTCCTTAATCAATTAAATTTAATTTTTTGTAACTTGTGTAGATCTTGATACACACGTCGTTCAAGTTGCATACCTTGTCTTTGTTTTTCAAACAAGTATCCTTCCATCCTTTGTTGTAGTTCAGAATTGTTGATGAGAGGACGAAGGATTCCTCCATAACATCAGCATCCATCCAACAGCTGTTCCCATCCACTGTTGAGTGGATCTGCTGCGAAGATAAATTCAAGACCTAATGTCGCTGTGTCCGTATCATCGCTTGAAATATAAGATGTGTTGCCATCTCTACTGTGTATCAAAGAATGTTTTGGTCAATGCAAAATAATGTTAAAATCCAAAAATGGGGAAGGCTTGAAAATTGCATGTCAGGAAAGCAGGATGTCTTTAAGACATACAGGACAATAATCTTTTGCAAACAAGGACAGGTTTTGTATTGCTGTTGATAGCTCAGGTGACTGTAAACATTTTACATAAAACCTGAAAATGCTCTTGTGACCGTTCTTGAATCTTTAAATCATATCTATGATTTCTGCTTGCAAATGACTTGTCTCCCTAGGAATATATTCCCAATTTTGGTTACTTGACTGGGAAGCCTGCTGGTAGTTCAGGCATAATGATTGAACTACATTCTTCTTCCTGTCTTCAGTTGAGTTAACAATGCAGTTTTATGCAATTGCAGATAGGTCATCTTTTCCTCAGACCCTTTATAAGCAAATCACTTATTTACTGCTAAGCTATCATTTATCTTTAATTCGTAATAGAGAGGCAGTACAAAATTTCACACTTAATTTATGTGCCTGGGACATGCATTTAAACATGCTCAGGAATTATTTTTTTGTGAAACTGTAAATATAAGATACAGCTCACTATTTGGTTTTCAACCTTAATAGAAACATGGTTAATAATATCAGATTTTAAGAGCTTAACCTATGTTCATACCTGTAAGTGGCTGTTTAAATTACACTATGCGTTTTTCCATTTGGATTTAACATTCCTGAATGGCTGCATTCCTCATCGTTTTTCTCCTGACGATGTATATACGAGGCCATGTTGCACTCATGCTTTTACACTACAGTCTGTATTAAATGAACAGCCAAGTGGGCTTTGCCGAGGCACATCATGAATGAAACTAACAGTCCTCTAAGATTTGGGGATAGGGTTGTTTTTTTGTAGGATCATTTTTTAAAAAAGCAGCTTTAAGATTTCAGAAAATGTCTGAAGCCAAGGAAATTGCAGTTTCACAAATACGCTTTTATCAGTGCCTTTGCATACACACATCCAGTGAAATTGTATACATTTAATGTGTTACATAAGACATTGCTGTTTACATGAAATCAGTGATCCTATTTAACTCTGAAATAGTATATGGCAAGTGATTAATACCTAAGAAACTAACTGAGGAAATTGTGAAACTCATTCAGTGTCACAGCTGAAGAAGAGAAACTGCCGCTTTCAAAATCAATACGGATTTTTGTAATAGGCACGGGACAAGGCAGATTTGTCTCCTTGGCTGTAATGTTTCAGAAAACCATTATTTACTCTTTGTAGCCAAGTAAATAGAATCTGATTTATTTCAGAATTATTCTTCGGGGCGATAGGGTTCTTTTAAAATGAGATGGTATGATATCTCTCTAATGATATGTGTGTGACCTTGAAAGACTTGTGTCCCCTAACATTTTCATCCCCATGAAAAACCTTTGCAGGCTCAATCACCAAAAGTGCCAGAATAGGACTCTCAAGAGTTGGAATATCTGAGAACAAAACAGGGTGTGCTATAGCAGTGTTTACACAGCATACATTATGCATTTTGCTGTCATTCGTATCCATAGCATCGTCTTCTCACTCATTCATTTTTGTGTTTGGATTTGGATGTAGTCACAATAGGAAACTCCACAGCCAAGTTAAAGTAATATACTGTGATGCATTTCCAGTTGTGCAGAGCTGTATTTAATAGTTACTAGAACTCATCCTTTAAAAGGGTCCAAGATGATGGAAGAATTGGGAATTCCTTGTTTCATAAATACGTTTCATTAAAATTCAGCTAACGGAGAACTGTATAAATATTGCATTCAGCACTGCTTCATATAAAAGGAGGCTGACAGCATTTTGCCATCTGTATTTTCTAAGAAAGCAGATTTCATAGATAGACAATATTCATACAAAATATAGCCCTGTAGTGGAGATGGCTCATTATGTTGTGATGCACTTTTCCCAAGGTATTACTTGTCAGAATGAGAAGATAGTGAATGTAGCCTAGCAACAGGAACGGCTCTCATACATTTCTGTTATTGCCTGGAAGTCAATTTCATTGCCATCTTTGAGCAGTGGAACGTCCAATTACGTGTAGGCTACTGTGGAGTTATGAATTAAAGAAATAGTCATGACAGTAAGTAGGTGTGGTGGGGGTTCCCCTTCTGGGGCTTTAAAAAATTACTATATAATGTCTTACTGGTGCAGAAGCAGACAGCAAGTTTTCCCTGTAGTAGATGAAAAAGAAATACATTCACTTACTGCATCAACTTTGGCTGTACAAGGGCACTTTGGGAGACTACATTTTGGATTAACTGAACAGGAGGACAGTCATCCCACTAAGGAAACCTTAATTCTATTCAATCAGTCTCTTGGCTAAGTTTGGATATTGGGCAAATGCAACAAGGATATGTTTTAGATGATGCATTGTTGTAGGGGTTTTCCTTCCTAGGCAAGAGAAAAGATCCAGTTTGCCACCTGCCGGTTTTGTAAGTACTTGTGCATATATATATATAAAGATTACTGGCCTCTTCACCAGGAGCATGTCTGATGAGACACACGAAGGATTGAACTCAGTGGATCTCAGCAGGATAGCATTGTAGAATATCGAGTCTTTGTTTGAAACCATTTATTGAGATTGGAGTAGTCCAGTTTTGCAGCCCTGTTCTGCGGTTCCCCCAATACAACCAACCTCCAAAAGGTGCCTCTGTGCCTATTCCTTATTTGTGGAGGAAGAAAGGGATAGGCAGTTCAGAGGAGGAAAGTTCAGAGGGGAATAAAAGAAAGACCGCTTCCTTCCCCTTGGAATACAGACCAAGATGTAGGGAGATTTCTACCAGGCCATACCCATGATCTTCAATTGCACTTGTGAAAGTAGTAACAAGTCTGTTGTCAAAAACAGTTGGCATGATTGGATATGTAACAGTGATTCAACCTCAGAGTTATTTAACCATAGGTAAGCAGATACTATAATACTAGCATTATCCCCTCAGTCTTGCAGTAATTAATGTGCCAGCAAAAAAAGTAGGATGCAACATCTGCTCAAGGTATTATTCCTTTCGGTTCATTTGTAACTGCCAGGCTTGTAACTACCAGATGGCCTTACAATTCCTACAGATTTTTTAAAATTCGAAGACAGATTAATAAGCGGTTTCTCAATATTTTAGCAGTATTAACGTCTCAACTTCCAATATTGAAAACAAAGCAAGCATTAATGCTGTAGGTACATTCCTGCTGCCATTCTAGGAAAATCATAGTCTTCTGATTTTGTTTTCTTGTTAAGGAGGTGAATAAATCAGTAATTTTCTATATTGGCACCCTTTCCCAACAGTTGTTTTCATATGCATGTGCAGGAAATTTCCACCTCTCCACCCAAAATTGACTGGAACAGAAGGGATATTTCCAAGACACCCCAAACGGCTAGCCTGATCCTTTGCATTTTCATTTATGACATGCTTTAGCCAATTAAGACTCAAATTGAGACACCAGCAAATTTGTCAGACCATAAAGGTAGACAATGGAAAATGGGGGAGTTAGTCCTTATAAATTTTTCTATGACACTGGTGAAAAAACTAAGCCTTTATGTTGAAAAATTTCAGGGATTTCAATAATTCCTCTATATTTAGGAGGAAATAAAGCTGAGTAGTGAAAGCAGAAATCTCAACTGCTGTAATAAACCTATTACTGGTATGATTTTTTTAAGATTAAGATTTTTGTGTATCGTTCCAAATACCTTTTGCTATTTTCATGGAAGGAACTCCTCTTTGATTTTGTGGCAATTTGAACTAGTTAAAATGCAGTCTGAGGTAGGAATGTGTTTTTTCCCCTATCTCGGAGTTGTCAGAGTGCCAAAACTGCCAGTATGGAAAGTTAGGAATTGTTGATTAATAGACCTGAATAGTAATGTGGAGTGGAGTCATGTGATTCACACAAAAATATAATATATATTTTTAGGGTGTAGTTCTGATGTTTTAAAAAAGATCTTGCAAAGATGACAGCAAGCCATAATAATGTATGACTTGAGAAGGAACCAGCACTGGAGATCAAATGTACACAGCTGAAATTATGCATTAGGTAGGCAAAACATTTAAAAGTGAGCATCCTGAGAAGCACTATATGTGAATGAGCTCAGGATAAAATCATCTTACTTTGAAGGAACAGCAGTTTCCACTTTCATAGCAAGTCTCATTCGTTGGTGGGTGAAGGTGGAAGGAGGAAAGCGAAATGCGGTTTGCTCCACAGCAGCTAGCGCAAGTTATTTAAGTGGCTCTATTAATAATGCTTTATGTGAATACTAGGTGCATGTTTGTGTGTAGAATGGCTTTTGAAGACCAATATTGTACTGAGTGAATACTGCAAATTAACCTTGTGGGATACTCAGGATATTGTGAGTGGAGAAGCTTCCCTTCACACCTCCAAAGAATCCGTTCTTGAGGACACAGATGACATTTTTGCACCGCTCCTCGTTTTGTTTGCTGCTCCTCTCCTTTGATTTCTTCACTAACGGTGGCGGGATCCCCGAACCAGAATGAAGAGTCCTAGCTTCCAAATATTCTGCTCCAAAATGGCTTTGCATTGTCATTCCTATAAAGAAAAACATTCCCAACACTTGCCTGAGTACGTGTAACATCGTACATAATAGCTACAGTGTTTGCACAGAGTGGGATGCTTCTTGCTTCGCTTTTCTTTTGTACTTTGTAAAGCGGTATATGTATTTTTGTATCACATAACTTGCTGGAAAACAAATTAAAACCTTTAAAACAAATTACCTAAAGCAGTCAGGGTTTGAATATATGCGATAGAAAACTTCTGTCCAACAGAGCTAACAGAAGATGCTGCAATAATCCAGTCAACATACAGAATAATATGCATTACACAGGTGTCTGCACATATACCCATAGTGCATAATTTGTTGGTTTTCTTAATGTACAGAACTTTGAATCGACTCATTGACTGGGAACTCCCAGGGCCAAATCTAGACCTCAGGAAAAGCCATTTTTCAGAATATTGCCACCTTCCTTGTCCAAATCAAGATTTGTGTGGATGGAGGGATGATTCTAGCAATCCACACCAAGGATAGGACTTTGGCTTAAACTATAATGGCCCTCCCATAAAATAAATTCAAGACTAGGAACCTAAAAATGCAGCCTAGAACTATTACATTATGAAACAGGTAACACTATGTAACATGATTTTTGTTTCTAGGTTATAAACATCATTTCCTAATTGGTTCGATCATAAAAACCTGGGAAAGGTTTATTAAATTGCAACAGCTTTGATTTTACGGGATATCCTGCTGCACATTTCAATTAGTATCTCATAGAGTCCCAACCAATTCAACACAATTTGTGGCAGCCACAAAAACCTAGTTTCTGGAGTGTAACACCTACTTTCAATTAAATAGGAAATAACACTTTCAAACTAGGAACAGAACAATTTTCAAATTGTGTTACATAATGTATAAAAACACAATACAATATAAAAGTACAGGTAAAGGTTCCTTGACATTAAGTCTAGTTGAGTCCAATTCTGGGGGGTGGTTCTTATCTCCATTTCTAAGCCGAAGAGCCGATATTGTCCAGAGACACCTCCTAGATCATGTGGCCGGCATGACTGCATGGAGTGTTGTTACCTCCCCGACGGAACGGAAACTATTTTAGCTACTTACATTTACATGTTTTCAAACTGCTGGGTTGGCAGAAGCCGGGGCTATCAATGGGAGCTCACCACATCCCATGGATTCGAACTGACACCCTTCTGGTCAGCAAGTTCAGCAGCTCAGTGGTTTAACCCACTGCGCCACCGCTGCCCCATGATGCAACATAATGCATGATTAAAAACCTATCAAACTGACTGAAGCATGTTGATCCAATACCATCTCCACTGTGCTAAGTAATAGTAAACAACACTTAGGATAAGATGGATCCTTTATAATGTAGTTATATATATGGGAGTTTTTTGGCCACCAGCCATAACGACTGCTTTTTGATGGAGATTTGAATGGCTGCATCAATTTCAAAGGTGGGGAGGGGGGTCCTACTCAAAACTAGCTAGCCATGAAGGGAGCAAATATAACTGCAGTTGTGTTCAAATTCCTCTGACAAGGGTGGCTAAACCCATTACGCAAAGTAAGCATTTGTAGTATAGTTGATTTTACCCAGGCGCTCTTGGGGCGCTCTTGGGGGAAAATAGACCTTGACATATGTGAGTTGTAGTTACTGAGATGTATAGTTCACCTACAATCAAAGAGCATTCTGAACTCCACCAATGATGGAATTGAACCAAATATGGCACACACAACTCCCATGACGAACAGAAAATATATATCAGTGATTGGTTGGGGGGGGGGGGCAAAATACTGTTTGCTTACCGTTGAAAATTACCTAGGGCCGCCTCTGTCCTGAGATAGCAATTTTGCTGAAAAGTGTCCATACAATGGCACAAAAGTCTAAGTAGTTCTGTTAAGAGCCGTTTTATACAAGAACATAAAAAATCGAGTGAAAAAAATAAATCATATATTTAAGACACAGTCTGTTTTGAAGTATTTTGGGTCATGCTATGACATAAATGCACATAAATCTATACCTATGGATGATGTATAGGGTAAAAGCCAACAATTTACACCAACTGAAAAAATACTTAGATGACACAGGCCAAGAGTGTATATGAAGCAACTAGAGTGTTAAGCCTCTACACATGCGGCTCCATATTCTTTACCTGCCCTGATAAAGGCTGCTGTTTACTAGGCCAAGAGGCAGAATAATTCAAATCTATATAAATAAAAATGTAATGTTCGTTTGTGGGATTAACATAACTCAAAAACCACTGGACAAATTGACACCAAATTTGGACATAAGACACCTATCACACCAATGAGTGACCATCACTCATAAAAACACTGAAAAACACAACAGAAGGGACTTCAAAAGCCAAAAAATAAAGAAAATATGTTACAACACATGCACAATACCACATATATACACAAATAGATACACACACAAAACATATACACAGACTGGGCCACAGCGACGCGTGGCAGGGGATAGCTAGTACAGAATAAACAGCTTGCCTTGGCTCCCAGGAGGGAGAAAATGAGAGTGCACTCCAAGATAGAGAGCTCTCCGTCCCCTCTGTTTTACCTGGAGCCCGGTCTTAACTATTCCTTCCCCAAGAAAATAGCCACCTGCATCCCATCCAAAGAGAGAGGCAAATAAGTTAACACTTCCAAGCACATAAATGTATACTGGGAAAAACGTGAGTTTGAGCAGGTAAGTGACGGTAAAAACTACAGACAAGCATCATTGGAAGGCCACCAAATTCCCTAATGACAGAAAGACAGCCAAGATATCAAGAAAATACATGTGCCTTTCACTTTGAAATTCACTTGGCCCATGCAGTTCAAGTGGTTAGTTTCATTGAACTCAGCATTGCTTAAGAAAGAAAGCAGCTCACTTCAGTGGGTACATACACTGGGATTGGTGTACAGGCAGTCCCCGAGTTACAAACATCCAATTTACAAACAACTCACAAGGGTGAAAAAACAGAAAGTGGGAGAAATCTCCCGTTAGGAAGGAAAGTTCATTCCTGGAAGAGTTCTCATGGGGAAAAAGTGAAGCTTTATCACCAATCCTTGTTTTCATAACAAGGCAAACTTTTCAAAATCCAATGGTCACAGGAACAAAAAGTGAGATGAAATCTTGTAAACAGGCACAGGCAGCAAAACAAACACCATAGAAGTGTTGAGCCTTCTCTATGTGCTCACGCTCCCTCTCTCTATATATATATATATATGTGGCTGGGGTTACGCTTAGAAGTGTACCTTTACTGGCTTACATATAGAATCAACTTAAGAACAAACTTATTGAACCTATCTTGTTCGTAACTTGGAAACTGCCTGTACTTAAATACTGCATGCAGTCCACTTTATTTATTTACAGCATTTCTATTCCACCCTTCTCACCCCGCAGGGGACTCAGGGCGGACTACAATGTATATATACATTGCAAACGTTCAATGCCATTAGACATACAACATATATAGACAGACACAGAGGCAATTTAACATTCCAGCTTTCCAGTTTCATGAGCACATGCTCGATTCCGGCCACAGGGGGAGCTGCCGCTTCACTGTTCACTTGTGACACCGAGTCCTTGATGGAGTACTTCCTCATTCTTACGCACGCTGATGTACTTGCATATTAAGGGCAATCTTACAAACCGTTAAACTTACTTCCTTGATTTTCAGGCATTTGATCCTCATCAAATTGCTAACATTTCAAGCCAAATTATTCCAACAGAACAAGTGAGCATATCAGAATAGGAATATACGACACAAGGCATTCCTTCTATTACAAGAATACTAGACTTCCTGGCCTGTTGCATCCCATTCCTTATTTTCTTATTACTGCAAATGAGTTTTTAAAATATAAACAACCATCCAGTCAAGCAACTGGTTTCAGAGAAGAGGAACCTTTCGAGGTCAGGATGATTATTACATAATGTACGTAAGGGTAATGTGGAGATAGTATTGGCAGCAGCCTGAATGAGCAGCACACTGTTTTGTTTATTCGGTCAGTCACTTCCAACTCTTCGTGACCCCATGGACCAGCCCACGCCAGAGCTTCCTGTCAGCCGTGGCCACCCCCAGCTCCTTCAAGATCAAGCCAGTCCCTTCAAGAATAACATCCATCCATCTTGCCCTCGGTCGACCCCTCTTCCTTTTTTCTTCCATTTCCCCCAGCATCATTATCTTCTCTAAGCTTTCCTGTCTACTCATTATGTGGCCAAAGTACTTCATCTTTGCCTCTACTATCCTTCCCTCCAGTGAGCAACCGGGCTTTACTTCCTGGAGTATGGACTCATTGGATCTTCTCACGGTCCAAGGCACTCTCAGAATTTTCCTCCAACACCACAGTTCAAAAACATCTTCCTTTGCTCAGCCTTCCTTATGGATCAGCTCTCGCATCCATAAGTTACTACGGGGAATACCATTGCTTTAACTAGGCGGATCTTTGTTGCCAGTGTGATGTCTCTGCTCTTAACTATTTTATCAAGATTGGTCATTGCTTTCCTCCCAAGAAGTTATTAATCAGTCTGGTTGCAGACTGTACAGAAGACAAAAAATGTAGTAGAATGGAACATATAATGGCAGGTAAGAAATACACAAGGGGGTATGGGTAAACAGACATGTCTCTAGAGGTTTCAGAAGAAAACCAGAAGTCTGTGAATATATAAGAAAACATTTCTGAAGCCTTTATTTACAAAAGCTTTAAAAACAAAATACCCTCTTATGCAAATGTGATATTTTTCTTTAAAAAGGACCGCTCAGTTACATCATTGTAACTTCATGAGGAAAAAAAAAGGAAAACAAGTTAAAGTACATGGTAAACAGATCAACTTGCTGAACATTGCTAAGACTGAGTCCAACTGATTTTCAGTGTAGATGATACACACAAAATACAGTCACAGGCACTCCATCATTTCAGTCTAGGATTTAGCTATTCAATATCAGTTAGTCTTCCTGCACAACTGCTTTGTATGAGGATGCTCTTCGTGGTGAGGAAAGTATTTTGTGGTCCTGTAATAAAACAATGTATTTAAAAAAAGATATTGCTAGGATCGACTCAGAAAATAAGCTAGCCTTACAAGACTTGGGTAACTTTATTAGATACAAACAGATTTGTTGTTTTACAATGAAAGTCCTTTGTAGTTGCTCCCGAAAAGGATGCATCTATTTTCCTTTTCTCTTTAGTTCTATATCAAGTTGACTTCAAATCTTTGGATCTCATTCTTAAACCGAGTTGTATTCGTCTACTCAAGTAAAGAATAAATAAGGTTTTTTTAAAAAATAGAAAGTATAGGGCATAGCTTGCTAGAACAGGAATACAAAATGGATCCACAATTAGCACATCCTGTTAATCCTACTGCAGTTTCCATCCTTCAAATTGAGTCTGCTCAGACAAAACCACAAAAGGCCACAGGAACTTTGCTGTGTGCTGTAAGTCTTGTTTCTAGAAATGGGGGTCTTGAATAATTTCCCCCAAACACACCCCACTGAGAACTGATCAGGAACACGCATTAGATGCTACATCAGAGCCTCTTACTTCAGTGAAGTATTCATAGGAATCATTCCCCACAGCTCCATCAAGTTATTTCCATCACAGAGCAGTATATGGAACTGGCAAGCCAATTGGTGTGTGCAGGACACACATGGAAGACCAGGCACCAGTTTAGATACAAGAACAGTTGCGAAGATTTCAGTAGTTCTGGACAGAGGTGATACAAAAAAGGATTTATCTTCAGTGGATTTGAAACTCGGGTGGGTGGGAAGAGAATAGCCATGGGTGGGCAGATTTGTCTGAAACAGGGAAGGAATACTGGAGCTTGAGATAAAACAGAGGATCTGACTGAGAGTCACTCTTCTAAAGTGCAAATGTGATGGTCCGCAATCTTGAATAGCTAAAACTGGAAGGCATAGACACCAGATGGGGAAGCCAGTTACAATCAGTGCTAGTTCAAGTTTAGGGAAATGGGTGGGAAAGGTAATAAACAAATACTAAGACCAATTAAAGTTTACCAGAAATTTCATTATCATTTTTGCTTCCCTCTTCTATCCGCCGCCCCGCTCCTACATGTGCTTATGTACAGTTGGGCAAAGTACAAGGCCACATTTCACCCAGAAATGCCTACACGTCAAGGTCAAAAAACTGGGATAGGAACAGTCAAGTTTAGTACATACAAAGGCAGAAAAGTGTGCTGATAAAGAGAGGAAAAGAATGCCTCATTGTCCAAGGGATTGAACCAGAGATAAAACCTATGTACAAGCAGGTGGAGCTCAGAAAAAGTGGTTTTCCATTTCATGTCATGATTGCTTGTTGGCTTCTTCTTCATATGCATTTCCTGTCCCATTCTGTACATAAGATGATCCCGAACCAAGACCATATAAGTGACCACAGTATTTGGCATCATCAATGTGATCTTCAAAGAACATCTGAAAGAAAAATTTACAAAACAAATCACTATTGCCGTCTGTAGCAATAAGCAATAAATAATATAACCACATGTGACAATAGAGGACATCTAGTTCCATAAAGCAAAAATAAGTCTAAACTAAACAAAAGTCTCTTCCCAAAGTATGAAAATTGGTAGCTTTAATCCTCTCTTTACTAAAAGGACCAGTAGCAAGATATAGCAGAATAATGAAATTGTAACATACCGAAATAAATGCAACTAAATCAACTAAATTAAAACAGAGTGATAAATCTATGTGTTCCTATTAAAGTTGAAAAGGGAAGTGGCTCAATGGCTGGTTAACAAAACACAAAGTGGGAACTTGATGAATTTTAGGGAACATCCCAAAGTTGAAGAACTAAAATAGAACAGACCCTGACTTTTGTGCGAACTTCCCAACTCTCTTGAAATGGACCCAAGAACAAAGTTAAGTCAGGGATCCGTGGAAAGAAATCGTCCTCATCTGTCTAGAACAGGGGTTCTCAAACTTTTTCAGACGCAGAGCCCTTTTTGAAGCAAAAGTTTCTTGTCAATTTCCAAGAAGTGTTTATATATTACATATAATGTATATATATTATGTATGGGCAAACTTTTGAAGAACATTTTAACCAACATAAACTTAACTGTATTTCAATGGAAGACCCAAGGGACCATCCAGCCCAACCCTCTTCTACCATGCAGGAAAAGCACAATCAAAGCACCCCAACAGATGGTCATCCAGACTTTGTAATAATAATAATAATAATAATAATAATAATAAGAGGGAGAGGATGGAAGAGGAGGAAACTGCAGAGCCCCTCCATATGCTTTGCAGAGCTCCAAGGCTCTGAGGAGCACACTTTGAAAACCACTGGTCTAGAACATCAATTACTAAAACAGCACCTTAGATTAAAGCCTGGAAACAAAAGGATCCAGTCAAAGATTAGCACTATTCCTTATCTTGCTAATACAGACAATATTTTAAGTTTTCAGATTATCCTCAAAGGCAGTGTCCATGTAGAGTACTACAATAATCAAGTCTAGAGTAGTTCAAACATGAGTCACTCAAATGAATTCCCTCCTTCTTTAGGAAAGGCTACAGTGGCATATAAACCAGAACTGATAAACCAGTCCTGTCATCTTGCTGCTGTCTGAAGGACAGCAAGGGATCTAGGAGTATCCCTACCATTCCACACTTAAAGTGTACCATTTCCTTCAAAGCAAGCGATACTCCAAAAACAAGCTGAACAGCCTCACGCAGATCATAGGTGGTTCCTAACTAAGAGCACCTCCACCTTGTCTAGATTAAGTTTGAACTCATTAACCTGCATCCATTCCAACACTGACAAACACCAGGTTATCACCTCCATGGCCTTCCTGAGAAGAGCAGGCAAAATTGTGCATCACCTGCATTCTGATCAACTTGCCCCAAATGTCTGGATAACCTCACTCAGCAGTTTCATGCAGCTATTAAAAAGCATGGGAGACAAGATGAAGCTTCATGGTACCCCACAAATGATAAGGACATAAAGTTAGTAGCCTCCCAAGGCTACTAACTTTATGTCCTTATCGTTTGTGGGATACCATGAAGTCTGCACTTATAAACAAAAACAGAACCACTGAAAAGAGGTAACATTCCAGCCAAACTGACCCAAAATTTAATCACTTGCTGCTGCAATAAATAAATAAATAAATAAATAAATAAATAAATAAATAAATAAATGTATATTCCGCCACCATCTCCCAAAAGGGACTCGGGGTGGCTTACAAGGCACATGCAATCACCACTCCTACTTTATCCTACAGCAACCAAGAGATCAAGAGTATTGCAAACAACATGTGTTGGAGTAATAATGCCCTCAGACTCTGCAATCCTAGTAAGTAAGTAAAACTTTGGATAATTATCTATCTTGGTCATGGCAACTGTTGGCTATCTCTGATACAACATCAGATACAAACCCTGCATCCAACTTACAGACAGATTTATTTATTTATTTATTTTGGGGGGGGGGGGGCTTATGTATGAATTAGTGTAATGTTCCCCCTTGCTTCCAGCTAGGCTAGATGCTGTTCTAAGTGAGCCAAAGGTGAATCAAGCTTGGTCTGCCCAGTTTTCTCACATGAAATCACCATTATGGAAACCAAATCAGATCATAGATGAGCATTGTTAAATTATGGACTCATCTAGTATCAAACTGCACCTAGCATAAGTACTGAGTTAGAATTGCTATCCAAATTGTGAGAGACACCCCACTAGAATAAGATGTAGCCAATGATGGTGTATACACTCCTTCCTGTTAAGAACGTATCAGTTGTTAACCTTTGTTGTTGCTGTGCGACTTCTAGTCATTTCCAACTTATGGCGGTCCTAAGGTGATTCTATCAGAGAGTTTTCTTGGCAAAATCTGTTCAGAGGATATTTGCCATTGCCTTTCTCTGAGGCTGAGAGATGATGACTTGCTCAAGGTCAGCCAGTGGGCTTCCATGGCAAAGTGGAGGTTCAAACCTTGATATCCAGTATCTTAGTCCAACATCCAAGTGACTATACCATGCTTAGGCCCATACCACTGTCAGGTGACGAAGCATGTAAATGACATTTTCATCCAGCAAATTAAAAAGAACCACGCCTACCTCTCTCATTTTGAAGAAAGCCATTCCTGTTAACAGAGAATCAGATCCTGCCTGATGCTGTGGGCCTATCCTTTCCAATTCTAATTGCTCAGCAACCTCTTGCAATCCACCCTGAAAGAGAGTATTTCTGTACAATCAGAAGATTTCAAGATGTGACATCACATAATGGAACGGTCGCCAAATAATGAAATCAATCCTATTTATCTGAGTTTCTAACATAAGGAGAAATGGGTACTGTTCCATTATCCAGGCTGAGGACTATTCTAGAGAAGTATAGTCCATTTTACCGGGGGGGGGGGGGGGGGGGGGGAGTTGAAGGAGGAAAACCATTTGTTGGTTATCCCCCCTCCCCCTTCCCATATCATAAAGAAGGGATGTTTCCACGATGGGGACATGCGGGTGGGGAAGAACAGAAAAATGGGGGAAACTGTTTTCCTCCTCCAAATCACCCTTCACCCCCATAAAATGGACTACTCTCTCTAGCTCACCCTTGTGGCCTCCACCCGAATAATGGAACAGTACAGAGAAATGTATTAAGAGCTCTCAATTGAAAATTTCATGTTTCTCTTCAAATCATAGCCTTAGCTCAGCTGGTACATACTTTAAAAGCAAAAACCTTCAAATCACATTAATTTGTTTTCTTACATTTCATGCCACAGAGCTGATCACATGTAACGCTAATTTGTATTAGCGTTACACGGCACATGTCAGAATTAAGAAGCACTACCTAATTAAACATTGGTTCAGGTGTTCCAATCTGTGTTCCTATCCTGTCTAACTGGATAGGGGTGTCAAGCTGTGATGGCAGACAACCAGTTGACCCAAGTCAGTAGAAGGGCCACTAATTTCCTAGCAGATATCGATGAAGTAACTACTGTATATACTTGAGTATAAGCCAACCAGAAAATGAGCCGAGACACCTAATTTTATGTCAAAAAACTGGGAAAATGTATTGACTCGAGTACAAGCCGAGGAGGAGAAATACAGCAGCTACTGATCAATTTCAAAATAAAAATACCTCGTATCAATAAAATTACATTAATTGAGGCATCGGTAGGTTAAATGCTTTTGAATATTTGCATAAAAGCATTTAAAAATATTTATTTACTCTCACCCCAGTGGTGGATTCAAAGCAGTTTCCAACAGATTTATGGCAAAATTTAATGTCTCACATACATATAAAACCCAACATAAAACAACAATAAAATATAACTAAATAAGGCTGTCCAACTCTGATTAAACCATTATTCTAACCTACTTCAATGTAAATGTGCTTACGTATCCCTCCAATAATAACAGAGTAAAATAATAAACGTAATAAGAAGAATAGAGTAAAATAATAAACTTAATAATAATAGAGTAAAATAATGTAAATGTAAGAACAATAATAAATAGAGTAAAATATAAATGTAATAATAATATTTTTTGGTTTTTTCGTTTGTCCTATGTCTGTTATAACAGGCTTTGCCTTTTATTTAACTCTAGTTTATTAAGTTATAATTCATATTTATATGTTGGCTTGTATCAATTTTGTTAGTATGGATGTATTGTTGTTGTATTCGGGCATTGAATGTTTGCCTTTTATGTTTGGAATCCGCCCTGATTCCTTTTGGAGAGATAGAGTGGAATATAAATAAAGTATTATTATTATTATTATTATTATTATTATTATTATTAATAACAGAGTAAAATAATAAATAACCTTGACTCGAGTATAAGCTGAGGGGGGCTTTTTCAGCCTTAGAAAAAAAGGGCTGAAAAGCTTAACTTATACTCAAGCATCTATGGTAATTGGATATGATTATATCCAGTTAACTTCTTGTTTTATGAATTATCTCACCTGCATCTTTTATCCTCAACTAAGTTGCTAGTAAGCTATCAGAACCATTTCATGCAGGAGTTTCAAACAGACATGCCAAATTACTGAATCCTACTGAATGTTAAATACATCAGTATTGGCTCACCACTCAACTGATTGTAATTGGGACCAGTAATATAATTCAAGCCCCAAGTCTCAATGAGAGTGTCTCAGTGCACAAATTTCTCTGTGAGAATAAGCTGAATTACAAGGGTTTAATGTCTGTTCAATCTCTGTGGAAAGCATCAGTCCATTTACCTTGAGATTTTTGCAACTCTTCATAAGGTACTTCACGTCATAAATGACAGGGAAAAACAATCTCAGTATCTCAAAGAAGTCCAGCTCTTCTTCAGGTAAATTAGAATTCGTCAAGATCTTTATCAGATATCCAAAGTCATAGCCACTGGGAGGGAAAAACATAAATGGAAATGAAACAAAGACATCTGCAATTAGGCAGGTATTCATTCAAATGCCAGAAGCATTCCCAGATGCCATATCTCTGTGTGCCTGCCTTCCAACATGGGAGATATACTCCAATTCTTAGAAACTCCTATTACATGGGTGGACTTGTCAAACTCCTCCACAAATAATAAGTTATTTTTCATCTTTCCCCAATTCCTTTGAAATTATTGTCCTTTTTGTTACTCTTGCATGTTATATCATTTATTTAAAAGATGATGCAATGCTACTAGATTTCCTTTGTCGACTACAGTCAGCCCTCTTCATTCACAAGAGTTAGGGGAACAGACCCCTCACAAAAGAGGAGTAACATTGTTTTGTTTTGGGTTTTTTTGAACTCACAACAACACTTCTCTGGGAATCTGTACAAGATCCTCTAGTACAGTGGTTCTCAACCTGTGGGTCCCCAGGTGTTTTGGCCTACAACTCCTAGAAATCCCAGCCAGTTTACCAGTTGTTAGGATTTTGGGGAGTTGAAGGCAAAAACATCTGGGGAGCCACAGGTTAAGAACCACTGCTCTAGTAGGTCAATGTCTGCTGGAAACCGATCATACAATATTACTGAACAACCTAGAGATTCCTGGAGATAACATTTTAAGTATTTCTGTCAATAATCGTATTTGCAAACATGAAGGGCCAAAGGTATTTCATAGATTCAATGCAACCTAACCCTGTACTTCTAACAGTGAATATCGACTAGATTCTGGAGTTTATAAAAGAACTAGGGACCCCACTTTTCCATTGTGGACTCAAAACTCTTTGTTGGATGGGAAACCTTCTGCAGTAGGGTTTTGATTGCATGGAGGGCTGTAACCAGACAGGAAAAGGAAGGAAGTCACAATTCCAAAGTTGCTGTGATCTTGGAGGCTCTAAGAATCTCATAACACTTTCTTTGGGGTGTTATAAGCTTGTTTTCTGCTGTTATAAAGACTAAGACACAGAACAATGCTTTCAAGTTACACCTAAACATTCGAAATAACTTCTACCTAAACAATAGCAAAAACTTCCTGATAGTAAGAGTTGCCTTGGAGCATAGTGGAGCCTCCTTCTCTGGAGGTTTTGAAGCGGAAGCTGAGTGGTCATCTGTTGGGGGTGCTTTGGTTGGATGTTCCTGCATAGCAGGGGGTTGAACTGAATGGCACTTGGGGTTTAATCTTCCAATAGTTTAGGGTAGAAGGTTTGTAATTTCCCTACCAGTATTATCAAAGGGTCTTCTGAGCTGTACTGAATTTGGACCTTCCAACGATGTTAACCAACTAATTCCAGTTTCCATTTAACTGCTAACCATACACAAAAGGCAGAAATACGAGGGTGTTCCTTCCTCTGACCTGGAAAACTGTCAAAGCAAAATAGTAAAATACAGTGCTCCCTCTCTACAAGGCCGACGCGTCAGTGCCTCACTTTAACATACAGATCATTTGTTGCCAGCTGAAGCCAAAGCACAAGCTTGAGAGATAACTTTAAAGCTGAAAAGCCTTTAAAACAATATCGCACTGCTACTTCAAGAACTCTTTTAGGCCTGATATTCCTGAAAAGGTAATTACGCTCTCTTACAGCTTCAGAAAAGCAGACAAACATAATCATCAATTTTATATGCTGCATTTACCTGTGAAACGAAAGCCACTTGACTCCTTCGCATAGCACTACTCCCGACGTCATCAGAAGTTCGGCAAAGTATTGAGTCTCGATTCCTTCTTCCTCATGTTTTTTGAACTGGATTCCAGACGTTGTTAGTAACTCTATGGAATCCTGGGCATACATGTCCTCTCTAAAAAATATGGAAAGAAAGCTCATTTAAATTACGAAATTCCTATAGAAAAAAGTGTAAACCAAAACCCAACATGAACAACAAATTATATTTTTAAACCACCATTGCAGCACCAATTATGTTAAGTAAGGGTAAAGGTTTCCACTGACATTAAGTCTAATTGTGTCTGACTCTGAGGGGTGGCACTGATCTCCATTTCTAAGCCGAAGAGCTGGCATCGTCCATAGACACCTCCATGTGGCCAGCATGACTACATGGAGCGCTGTTACCTTCCCGCAATAGCAGTATCTATTGATCTCACATTTGCATGTTTTTGAACTGCTAGGTTGGCAGAAACTGGGGCTAACAGCGGGAGCTCATCCCCACTCCCTGGATTTGAATTGCCTACCTTCCGGTCAGCAATTCAGGAGGTACAGCGGGTTTAACCCACTGTACCTCCAGGGGCCCAATGTTAAGATTTACAGATGTTAATTATGTTAAGATTTACTGATAAATTTTATAAGTAAATCCCACAAAACTCCAGCCCAAGTTAACTGTTAAAACATCTAAAACATATAGGGCAATTAAACTTGCAATATGCTGTATGTGACATAAAAATCCTTCTCACACACCACTGCTATGACCATGAAGTGAAGTGTTCCAAAGAACGGATTAGGGTGATAGTCAGCAGGAGGATCTGGGATTTCTGAGTCTGCCAAGTTTGGACTGACCTTCATGTGTGTCTTGGCTCAACTGAATTCATCACTTAACATAAAGAAAGCTATTTATCAGCTCAAGAGATAATCAGGTCATATCTGAGCAGTCAAACTAACAGTTAAGTCACAACCTGGGCAATGTCTAGCTAATTACATGGTTTCCCAGACACTAAATCTGCAATCCTATGTCACACAATGAACTCATTGGAATGAAATTCTGAGTCAACAAGCACTGCAATGGGCTGCATGGCTACAATCTTACACATACTCAGTGAAACCAATATAGTTACTTCTAACAAGATACACTTACAACTGGGTCTCTTTTTCAGAGAAATAAAACAGGATGATAATAATATTTATTTACCGTATTTATACATTGTCTTTCTCACCCTTGGGGAAATCAAGGCAGTTTACAACATACTAATGGAAAAAATTCAATACCAACATAGGGTACATAAACAAATCATAACTAATTACTACATATAATGATATAAATATAAAATATAATAACAATAATAATATTAATAATAATACATGGCTGCTATCAAAGCACACTGATGCATATGCCTTTGTAATTACACTATGCAACACGGTATTTGTTCCTGAGTTATAAATGTCATTTTCTAATAGGTTCTATTAAAAAAAAAACATGGGAAAAGTTTATTAAACATCCTGTAGAACATTTTGCTATAGTTTTTCAATGAATATCTTATCGAGTCTCAACCAATTCAACATAGTTTGTGGCAGCCCACAAAAGTTAGAGACCTTAATGTTCATGTTTTTATTTATTTTGTTATGTTTTTATTACTTGATTGTTTTTATTGTATTGAATTTGTATTTTATTGTCTTGGACCAACTGTAAACCACCCCGAGTTGCCTGCGGGCTGAGAAGGACGGTATATAAATACAGTAAATAAATAAATAATAATAAATAACAAAGTTTCTCAAGGTAAGTACAGCACAATTGAACTTTAAAGGAATAACACTTTCAAACCAGGAAGAGAATTTTTATCAAATTTTGTTACACATTGTAATTAGCACATACACAGACACAAACATAAAAATGAGCAATATCCAGTGTATTGTGTAAGATGGACCTTATATATAGTCACTCATCAAATGTCTGTCAGAATAGAAAAGTCTGTGAAAAGAAAGTAGGGAGGATACTAAACTAATTTTTTGGGAAGAGAGTTTAGAGCTTGGGGGCAGCCATTGAGAAGACTCTCTTCCATATTCTCAATAGATGTACCTTTGAGTTGATAGAGCAGAGAGAAAGATTGGAGAAGGCGTGGTTATGGAGACAGGCATTCGATGAGTGAGCCAACACCCTGAGATATGGATGGAGGATGATGAACATCAAATTCAGTGGAACGACTGACCATTGTATTTATTGAATGTAATTGCTGTTTTGCTGTTTTAATGTTTTATTGCAATATGAAGTATGATGTTTTATTGACTGTATGTATATTATGGTTGGAAACCGGTCTGAGTCCCTCAAGAGAAGTGAGAAGGTCGGTATATAAAACTTTTAAATAACTAAATAAAAAAAAGATCTTCCCAGTAGATCTAAAAACATGGGTCAGTTCATAAGGGAGAACCTGGACCTGAGTTGCATAGGGCTTTAAAAGTCATAACCACCATTTTGAATTGTGCCCGGAAATGGACTGTGTTTCTTGCAGTCAGTTAACAATCTGGCTTTGGTTCTTTGGACCAGTCGTACTTTTCCAAACATTTTTCAAAGGCAGCCCCACATAAGTGTGCAAAATCACTATGTAACAAAATTTGAAAAAAAAATCTGTTCCTGATTTGAAAGTGATATTCCTGTTTAATTATGTGGTACTTACTTTGAAAGTAGTTGTTATACTCCAGAAACTCAGTTTTTGTGGCTGCCACAAACTAAGTTGACTTGGTTGAGAATCTATGAGATATTCACTGAAAAACTATAGCAAAATGTACTGCAGAATGTCCCACAAAAGCAAAGTTTTTGCAGTTCAATAAACTTCCCCATTTTTTTATGATTGAACCAATTAGGAAATGACATTTATAACCCAGGAACAAAAATCGTGTCACATAGTGTAATTGGAAAAAAATTGAAATGAATATAAAAGCATGTAAATTTAAGCTGTCCATGCACTTAATAGGCATATCAATATTTCAACTTTGCTCTAAGGTTTTATAAAATTGACGGAACAAAAACACTTAAAAAACACATATACACAAACAGCATTTACTATTACTCCTACAGAAAGGAAAAAATGGATAAAAACACACTGAAACAATTCCCGGAATCAAAATTTTTAAACATTCTTTTGTTACACTGCAAGTTTAAGCACAGATGACATCATTTTTGGAGCTTACGTTAAATTAAATTTAAAATTAAATTGCCACGTTGAAGTTCCTGGAGGATATTCGCCTTGCTCATTCATGAACGTCAGCCCTAACTGAATTATCTTTAGTAAGTCCACATTACAACGAAGTAGTTGGTACTGATAGTCTGCATTGCTTCTGAATTCTCCAATTGGCCGTGCAACTACACCTGGAAACTCTGTGTCCTGAAAAATGGAGAGAAAAATAGAAATGTAAAATATCATGAAGAGATGGCAGTAGGTGGGCAATCTGGATGCTTTAAAGACCCTTGAATACCTTCCTGACATCAAGGGCAAGGTTTTCATAATGTAATTCCATCATTGTGAATGCGTCAGAGCAAGTACAACGTAATTCAGTGCTACAGTCTGTCTGAACATATGATTTTGATATTTTTAATGAAAAACAGTATCATCACAGACTGGGGTGATAATTTGCATCCTCAAGATGTTTCAGTCATCATTCTTTCTCCTGTCACATCTAATTCATGCAAGATTATGTGTAGTGCCAATGCTCATAGTGTAGTGTCAATGCTCAATCACGGGGTTGCTGTGAGTTTTCCGGTCTGTATGGCCATGTTCCAAAAGCATTATCTTCTGACATTTCACCCACATCTATGGCAGGCATCCTCAGAAGTTGCAAGATCCCAACATTTATTCCCAATGAGAGGACCTCACAACTTCTGAGGATGCCTGCCATAGATAGTAATAATAATAAAACTTTATTTATACCCCGCCACCATCTCCCCAAGGGGACTCGGGGTGGCTTACATGAGGCCACACCCAACAATACAGTAAAACAATATAACACAAGATCATAAGAGAAAATAAGAAAATAAAATAACGTAAGATACAAAATCAATATAAATAAACAGTGCAGCAATATAAAATCAGGACATTAAAACACTGAAAATAATCACAGTGGGCAGGGCCAATTGCAAAGACTAAAATTTTAAAACACTGCAATGTATCAGAATAGGGGATCTGGAGGATAAGGTAGGGTTTAATTGCACAACCAGTAAAATAAAATGCTTCTGAGGGATTTTATGCAGAATTTGGTCAGGGATTATTGAACATTCAATCATTGAAGGCACACTGGAACAGCCAAGTTTTCAGGCTCCTCCCAAAGACTGCCAGGGTGGGGGCTTGCCTAATCTCTGGGGAGCGAATTCCAGAGCCGAGGGGCCACCACAGAGAAGGCCCTCTCCCTCATTCCCACATGTCGCGATGGGGGCGGGAGCATGAGAAGGGCCTCTCCGGAAGATCGAAGAGATCATGTACGTTCGTAGACGGAAATGCGGTTGCGCAGGTAGGCGGGTCCCAAACTGTTCAGGGATTTGTAGGTAAGAACCTGCACCTTGAATTGGGACCAGAAAATAAATGGCCACCAATGGAGCTGCCAATAGATGTGGGTGAAACGCCAGGAGAGAATGCTTCTGGAACATGGCCGTACAGACCTGAAAACTCACAGCAAACTTTTTATAGATTGACTACATATACACAATGATAAATAATATATATATTGATTCCAGCATTGAAAGTAGTATTGCATTCCTGTTTGTCCACAGTATCTGCTATTCGGAAGAACACTATCTAAATATTCTGTCTAACAGGCACTGTTCAGTCTTCCACAAGCAAACAGCATCTGCCACTACAGCTAACTCACCTATCACTGAGCTGAGTTATACCTGAAGAAGTATTCATTTTCTATCACAAATGTTTTACTACGATATTTCTTCAATTGTAAGACACCATCAATTGTAAAATGTACCCTAATTTCTGTACCATCATCACCAAAAATATATAAGATGCACATGCAATTCTAAGACACATCTCATTTTTAGAGATGTCTATACAAAGACAAAGGTGTGTCAGAACTAAAGAAATACAGTAATATGTTTTCCAAGAAGATCCCAACGTTTATTCACAATGAGAATATGTGGGATGGAATGCTGTAGTTATTTCCTATATTAACCTCAACAGTCCTCCACATGTTTTTTTTAATGTCAGGAGCAACTTGAAAAACTACAAGTTGCATCTGGTGTGAGAGAATTGGCAGTCTCTAAGGATATTGCCCAGGGAACGCCCGGATGTTTGATGTTTTACTATCCTTGCAGGAGGCTTCTCTCATGCCCCTGTATGGAGAACTGGGGCAGACAGAGGGAGCCCAACCTGCTCTCCCTGGATTTGAACCACTGACCTATCAGTCAGTAGTCCTGCTGGCACAAGGGTTTAACCACCAGGCGCTCCCCTCCATATGGTGTCCCCATTTCATATGTCATCAATACAGTATGTGACAGAAACACAACCGGAAGTCACTCTATATAGATCACACAACCCTTAGACAATAATTTGAGTCAAGGTTCCACTAATTATTTGATGCTTCTTTCCAATAAAATATCAGAGACTATTATTTCTGAAAATGTAATTACCTTATTTCTTTTATTGTAAAACATACACTAATTTCAGTACCACCAACAGAAAAAAAAACTTTTTGCATGTACCCACGTTTCTAAGATGCACCCTGTTTTTAGAGATGTTTATATCTTATAATTTTAGAATCGAAGAAATACAGTACATCTTAGACTTAAAGAAATAGAGCATGCCTTAGAATCAAAGAAATACAGCACATCATAGAATTAAAGAGATACATTATCTTCTTTGAATCACACCCTTCTTGGCCTTTTAAAAGACCAGCTTCAACCTAAACATAGATCATCCATATCCCCAGATCATACCATTGCAACATAGTTAAACTTGCGTATAACTTGACGAATTTTCTTCATCTCTTCATCCAGGTTGCAAGCCCAAACTTCACAAATTCTTTGGCTGTGATCTACCGTAGCTGCTGGCATAGTTGGGAGGTTTCAGACACCATGCATCAAAAAGGTAGACGTGACAAAAAGTCAGTTTCATAAAATACGGTTTAGTAATATCCCTAAAAAGACAAGTTAAAAAAAGAAAGAATTATTTCAAATTCATAAATACAATATCCAAATAATCTGAAATTGTCAAAAATTAAGTCAGGAATTGCAAGAGTTAACATAGTGGGTAGATGTATATAGTAAATTTGTTAATTTTGCTGTCAGGCAAAAAAAAAAACCCCAAATCAACTATAGAATCAACTTTAAAGCTTTAGGCCAGAATCCTGTATTGAAATTGCATCTTTGTAAGTGGACTTGTGTAAGTGGCAGCTAGAACTGGGCAGTTTTGTAATATCCATATCCAGTAAAACGCTACTGTTACATTATTACGTAGCAAAGTCGGCAAAATGATAATTGTGCAATGAGACTAGTGCACATCAGCTACCAATGCACATAGGCACTTGTCCTTGTGCAGATCCACATCTTTGCAATTTCTTTGCAAGTTTCTTAACACATCTGTTACACAGCTTAGTACATGTAAATTTACATTAAGTAAAAAAATGGATTCTGGCAAACATGTACTTTTCTTCACTATAAACCTATTTATAGAACAATTTAAAATATCTTGGCTCAGATATATGTCCCACTGTGGTCAGCAACACTTATGACACTAAACAGCACAGGATGGCAGCTTTCCTTTGAATTTGTTTCAGTGGACTTACTTCCAAGTATGCATGGTCAATACAGCGATTTCATTTAGTAAAACAATATCAATTTATTCCACTCTGCTTGAAATGCATTAGTTAATTAAAATAAACCATGCAACTGGTTGGCATGAAGAGCAAGTAAGGTTCACTGCTTATATGACATACCAATGCAACGAAATTGGGTTAGTAGATCAGAAGATGTGTAAATTATGCATACAGTAGGTCCTTGGTATTTGTTGGGATTTGTTTCCGATACCCTATTTATACCAAAATCTCTGGAAGGTCGAGTCCCATTATATACCATTGCATATTAAAATGGTGCCTCTTATGCAAAATGGCAAAAACAACTGGACAACCATAAAGGTTTTTCCTGATCTTACTCACTTCCTGGGTGGATCAAATTGACAATGACAGAAGCAGGAGCATTATAATTTATGTGATTATATAGATTGCTGTCTGCAAACCACAAGACAACAACAATGGTGAAGCAAACATTCCACTGAAAATGAATGAGAGTAAGAAACAGGAAAAGGAGATACGATAACATACATAGTGCACAAGTCTTTCCTACAGAATATGTATTCTGAAGCCAAGGAACTATCAAATACTTGAAAGCTCAGTTGCAAGCACCCAAAAGCAATTTGGGTTTAAGTCAAAGTTGGTAGAAATATATCAACTACAATTTCAAAAGAAAAACTTAGAATACTGCAACAATACTAGATTATGTCATCTTTGTATTTCACATCTTATAAATGATTGAATTCCAAGATGGTTGAATATTTACTGCAATTGGAATTTAGGAAACTTTTCTTGTTCAGGGATTTTAATGAAATAAGTACACTTTATTTTCAAACAATCTAGGTAGAACAAGTGGTGGTGGTAAAATGTCATGTGTTATCATTTTACTACAGTTATTAGTAATTAACATTTATTTGCCATTTATGAATAAATCAGACAGAAGATAAAAAATGTGTCAGAGTCGAAGGTGTAGAACAGGGGTCCTCAAACTAAGGCCCGGGGACAAGATACGGCCCTCCAGGGTCATTTAGCCAGCCCTCACTCAGGGTCAACCTAAGTGTGAAACAACTTGAAAGCACACAACCACAACAACAACAATCCTATCTTATCAGCCAAAAGCAGGTCCGCACTTCCCATTGAAATACTAATAAGTTTATATTTGTTAAAATTGTTCTTCATTTTAATTATTGTAATGTTTTTAAGAGTTATTTGCACTACAAATAAGATATGTGCAGTGTGCACAGGAATTCATTCTTTTCAGATTATAATCCAGCCTCCCAACAGTTTGAGGGACTGTGACTTGGCCTTCTGTTTAAAAAGTTTGAGGACTCCTGGCTTAGAATATATTTTCTATGGCTTTGACGAAAAACTTAAAACACTTTTCAGTGGTACTAAATATTGCACCCTAACACACGAGGCTTGCTTCCAGCTTTGCAATAAAATAATGGGGAATGACAGAGTTTGCTACATCTGAACTGTAACCAGACTTAAGGTTTTGGGGCATGGAGCAGCCCAAAATAGAAGGAAGAATACATAAACCAAACAAATAATTGGACAGATACAATTTTCAGTCCTGGATCTGAGCCATGTCACACAATCTGAGAGCCACATGACTGGACAAAGTCTTCATGAAGAAGATATATATGCTGCCTATCAGTCCATATCAATTTGGTCATATGCCTCTGCCGTCCCATAAAATCAGCTTCTATTAACTGTTGCAAATATCAGATTTTTAAATATTTGTGAAAGCATACAAAAAATATTATGTTCATCCTAAATAAACAGAAGTGCTGATAGCAAGTTTGCCAGAAACTAGGGGGGGGGGGGAGTCTTTTGCTTTCTCTGCGAGGTGCTGGTGCCTCATCAAACTACAAATTCCAGTATTCCATAGCATTAAGCCATGACAGTTAAAGTGGTGTCAAGCTGTATTAATTCTACAGTGTAGATGCACCCTAGGAGTCCACATATCTAGACCTTTCCAATGCACATAGCCACTTGAGACAATCTTTTTTTAAAGCTGTAATAATAATAATAATAATAATAATAATAATAATAATAATCTTTATTTATACCCCGCCACCATCTCCCCAATGGGGACTCGGAGAGACTTACATGGGGCCAAACCCGAACAACATATTACATCAAAATAAAACCAAAACATAAACAATAAACAACATCATCAAAATTACATTTTTTAAAAACTATAAATACAAGAACAAAATAACATTACAATAAACACGGTCGCAGTAACAGTGGGCGGGCCACATGTACAGGATAAAATGTTAAAAAAACTCTAATGAAATAAAAATAGGAGCATCTATACTGACCATTAAATGCAGTGTCAAACTATCAGCAAAACATGGTAGTTAGACAACACACACTGCAAATGTTTTCTACAGTGCGTTTTAGTCCAGTAATCTAACAGAAGCGAAGTTGGGAGAAAGTCCAAAATGAAGCCTGTAATGCTCATCAGTGTGCTGTAGTATAAACCACATTGAATTGAGAAATGGCTCCATAGAATTTGAATTGCAGTGCTGACACTCAAGTACTCCAATGATGCATGCATCTGCATTCCAGAGGGGGGATTTGAGGAAAAAATGCATTTTCCACAGCTGTCAAGCCACAGATACTGTGGATCCTGAAACTGTTTAAGAGGCCACCCTTTGTGTGTATGCAATCACCACTCAGGCCTCAAGCTAATTCCAGGGGTTGTAATCTAATCATCCACACAGTGAAACTGCATTTTTCAGTAAGTATTTCAGATTGACCTAAGTGATTATTGTAGATGGCCTCCAGATAACAGAAAGTGTTAAGTATCAATCACACATAGATATCAGGAAGTTTCATGTAACTAAAGATATACACTGAACTGTCCAGATTTTAGAGTAGTGGTTCCCAGACTTTCACATTATTATTATTATTATTAATTATTATTATTATTATTATCATTATCATCATCATCATCGTCCTTTATTTATATCCTGCCTTTTTCCCTGTGTGGACTCAAGGCGGCTAAAAATCCCACACTTTAATCAAGTTTAAAAAGCGCAAAACACTCTTAGTGTTGAACTTCAAATCCAAGATGTCCCAGCCACCTTGACCAACAATCAAGAATTCTGGGAGCTGAACTCCAAAACATTTGGTGGACCAAAGCTTGGGAACCACTTTCAGAGGGACAGTTTGTCAATCTAAAACAGCAATAAGGAGTTCTACAGGAACCTAACAAATTGGTTATAATGTAAGATGACAACTGGGAGTTCACATTTTTCAAAGTCTTGCCCAAAGAATGCTGTCGGCTCACCAAACTACAAATCCATGATTTCATAGCACGGAGCCATGGAAGTTAAAATACTCTCAAATTGAATTAATGCTACACTGCAGATGTACTCATAGGTTGCATCTCTATTATGGACATACTTTGAAAACAATTTATTATGTACTTAGATGCAAATGCAAGTATTTTAAAACCACCGCAAAAAACTGAAACCCAAAACACTTCCAGAGAAGGGAGCCTCTGGTCCCTTCTACACTGTCCCTTTAGCTCAGTATCTGATCTCATATTATTTGCTTATCCCAGATTATATGGCAGTGCAGACTCATATAATCCAGTTCAACCTTGGATCAGATCTTGGGATATAGTGTAGAAGGGGCCTCTGGCTGCTTCTATGCTGAAGGATCAGTGCATTCTAACAGCACTTTAACTGTAGTGACTCGATGCTATGGAATAGTGAAAGAGTTGTCCTTTGATGAGGTCCCAACACTATTGGTAAAGAAGGTGAAAACCCTTGTTAAAACTGCAACTCCCAGGATCCCATAGCGCTGAGCCATGGCAGTTAAAGTGGCATCAAAGTGAATTAACTCCACAGTGTAAATGCACCCCTTGAACCACAGGTCCCCAAACTGAAGCCCGCGAGCCAGATGCAGCCCTCCAAGATCATTTACCCAGTTCCTGTCCTGAATTTTAAAATTAGGGTCACTCTATGGCCTTTTCTGCACTGTTCTTATATTGCAGGATCAGATTCCAGGATATCTGCTTATCCCAGATTATATGGCAGTGAAGACTCAGGGTCCTTCCAGACAGGTCCTATATCCTAAGATCTGGTTCCAGGTTTTCTGTTTTAAACTGCATTATATGAGTCCACACTGCCATATAATCTGGGATAAACAGAAAACCTGGGATCAGATCCTGGAATATAAGGCCTGTCTGGAAGGGCCATCACATAATCCAGTTCAAAACAGATAACCTGGGATAAGATCCTGAGATGTAAGGATGTGTAGAAGGGGCCTAACTCCGGAAGAACTTAAAGGCACACAACAAAAAACAATCCTAAGTAGCGTGATGGACTCATCAACCAAAACCAGGCCCATCCTTCCCATTGAAATAATGGGAAGTTTATTTTGGCTAAATTGTTCTTCTTTTCAATAGTGCATTGTTCATCAAGGGGTTTTTTTCCCTGCACTACAAATAAGATATGTACAGTTTGTGTTTGTTTCAAACTATAGCCCGTCTCCTCAACAGTCTGAGGCCCCTTCCACACAGCTATACAAAACCCACATTGAAGTTGATTATATGGTAATGTGGACTCAGGGCCCTTCTACACAGCTATATAACCTAGAATATCAAGGCAGCTGAATAAAATCCCACATTATCTGCTTTGAACTGGAATATATGACAGTGTGGGCTGAGATAACCCAGTTCACAGCAGATATTGTTGGATTTTCTGCCTTGATATTCTGGGTTATATGGCTGTGTGGAAGGGCAGATATTGCAGATTTTCTGCCTTGATATAGGAGTTCAAAGCAGATACTGTGGGATTTTCTGGCTTGATATAGGGCTGTGTGGAAGGGCCCTTAGTCCACACTGCCATATATCCAAGGTGCTTGTTTATAAAGCCAGTGTCCTCCCAACCTTGCTATATGCCTGCAAAACGTGGACTGTCTACAAACATCACATGCAACTCCTGGAACAATTCCAGCAGCCTTGCCTCTGAAAATCCTGCAAATCTCTTGGGAAAACAGGGGGACAAATGTCAGCATGCTGGAAGCAGCAAAGACCACCAGCATTGAAGCTATGCTCCTTCACCATCAACTCCGCTGGACTGGCCACATTGTCTAAATGCCCAAACACCATCTCTCAAAGCAGTTACTCTACTCCCAACTCAAGAATGGGAAATGTATTGTTGGTGGACAGAAAAAGAGATTTAAAGATGAGCTTAAAGTCAACCTTAAAAACTGTGCCATAGACACAGAGAACTGGGAAGCCCTGGCCCTTGAGCACTCTAACTGGAGGTCAGTTGTGACCAGCAGTGCTGCAGAATTCAAAGAGGCACGAACGGAGGAAGAAACATGCCAAGAAGAAGGCACGTCAATCCAAGAATGACCGGGACTGCCTTCCACCTGGAGAACATGCAGGTCAAGAATAGGGCACCACAGCCACGTATGGACCTACCGCCAAGACACCACATCTGGAATACCATCATCCTCAAGCTATGAGGGATAGCCTAAGCAAGTATATCCCAGTTCAAAGCAGATATTGTGGGATTTTCTGCCTTGATATTCTGGGATATAGGGATGTGGAAGGGCCCTGAGTCCACATTCGGATAATGTGGGATTTCCTACCTTGCTATTCTGGGATATAGGGCTGTGTGGAGGGGCCCTGAGTCCACACTCAGATGTGATTTTTTCTGCCTTGATATTCTGGGATATAGGGATGTGAAAGGGCCCTGAGTCCACATTCGGACAATGAGGGATTTCCTGCCTTAATATTCTGGGATATAGGGCTGTGCGGAAGGGCCCTGAGTCCACACTCAGATAATGTGGGATTTCCTGCCTTGATATTCTGGGATATAGGGCTGTGTGGAGGGGCCCTGAGTTCACACTCAGATATTGTGGGATTTCCTGCCTTGATATTCTGGGATATAGGGCAGTGTGGAGAGGCCATGAGTCCACATTCAGATAATCTGGAATTTTCTGCCTTGATATTCTGGGATATAGGGCTGTGTGGAAGGGCCCTGAGTAACACTGCTTTAGATTATCAGTTTTTGCATTAAGCAAGAAATAAGCCATGAAAATTGCCTGATAACTGTGCGGATTTCCTCTTAATATTCTGGGATATAGGGCTGTGTGGAAGGGCCCTGAGTACACATTTGGATATTCTGGGATATAGGGCTGTGTGGAGGGGCCCTGAGTCTACACTCAGATAATGTGGGACTTCCTGCCTTGATATTCTGGGATATAGAATGTGGAGGGGCCCTGAGTCTACATTCAGATATTCTGGGATATAGGACTGTGTTGAGGGGCCCTGAGTCCATACTCAAATAATGTGGGCTTTCCTGCCTTGATATTATAGGATATAGGGCTGTGTGGAAGGGCACTGAGTCCACACTCAGATAATGTGGGATTTCCTGCCTTGATATCCTGGGATAGAGGGCTGTGTGGAAGGGCCCTGAATGACCATGAACCAGCCCTGGGCTCACAAAATTCAAGGAGCTCTGCTTGACAGATGATTATTATACTTATTCCTAGCTTCTCCTTTTGCTGTCTTCCTGCTCTTTTCCTTCTCTCTTGCCACCTGCTTCATCTATGCTGCAAAGGGCAAGGCATGATTACAATCAACAGCCAACAGCCTCCAGTTCAAAGTGGTGTTTCAAACGGAGGTTGGATGGCCATCTGTCGGGGGTGCTTTGAATTTGATTTTCCTGCTTCTTGGCAGGGGGTTGGACTGGCTGGCCCATGAGGTCTCTTCCAACTCTAGGATTGTATGGTTCTATGCGTCCAAGTGCCTTGATTCTACAGTGTAGATGGACCTTCTCCTGAGAGAGAGCCCAGAAGAGATGGATCTGGAGGGAGTGAGGGGAGAAGAAGTTACTCCCCTGCAAGAGCCAGCTTCCCAGAACGGGCTGAGTCCATGTGAGGACCTTCTGGCATGTTAAAGCGGGTGAATGAAGCAACAGGTGGGCCTTCAGGAACGCACCCCTCCCGCTCCCGCCTTGATACTACCTCTCCCGCTCCGGCGCGCGAAGCCTTCGCATCAGGAGCCGCCGAGCCTCCCTCTCTCTCAAAACGCCCCCTCCGCTCCTTCCTTCCTCTCGCTCTCTCTCTGTCTGGCGCGCGCGCAACCACACACACATACACACGCACGCACGGCCCGGAAGTGCCCTCCCTTTACCGGAAGTGGGGGTTGTCCCTCACGCGGGCCTGGCTGGGGACAGCGGTCGGCAAGCAGCGCCGGCTGCTCCTCCTCCTCCTCCTCTTCTTGCCACCCAGCGCACAAAGCCGTGCCGTCATCACCCCGCGCGCGATAGAAAGAGAGAGAGAGAGAAAGCGACTCTAATCACCTTTCGATTCCTTTCCCCTTTTCTCCCGCCTCAACCAATCGGCGCCTTCTTGCCTGCACTTTCCACCAATAGAGAGAGAGAACCAAGCTGGCGTCATGACGTCGCTGAAGCAAAAACGAAGACAGTTCCTCCCTCCCCTCGCCGTTTTCTTTAGCGCATGCGCGTTGTCGTGACGTCTGAGGAGCGTTTTGTTTTCGCCCTGCACTTCCTGTCTGACTTGAAGGGAGCGAATGTGAGCGGTTGGAGGAGTGAGGCGAAGGGAAGCGAAGAGGGGAACACAGAGAGAGAGGGGCCGAAGGAAGGCGGCGGGGATGAACTGGCTCTTCCCTCTCTCCAAAGGCGGAGGCGGGAGCGGGGCCGCGGCCTCCTCCTCCGCCTCGCCGTCCTCCTCCTCATCCGCCTTGCCTTCACACCTCACCAGCCTCCAGCAGCAGAAGCAGCGGCAAATCGAGTCTCTGCGCAGCGCCCACGCCGCGTGAGTGACGCACAGGCCGGAGGGCCATCTGTCCGGGGGGCTCGGGTTGTGTAGGTCTCTGCTTTGGCAGAACAGGATTGGCCTACCGGGCCCTTGCGGCCTCTCCCAACTCTGTGGTTCTGGGGTTTGACAAAAAGACACCTCTGGGCCTGAGATTGTGTCCATTTGGGGCATCGGACATGAGAGAAGCCTCCCACAAGGATGATAAAAACATCAAAAATCATCCGGGCGTCCTGGGCAACGTCCTTGCAGACGGCCAATTCTCTCACACCAGAAGCGACTTGCAGTTTCTCAAGTCACTCCTGACACGACAAAAAAAAATCGGCTTTAATGACAAGAGCATTTGTTCATCAGTAAGGCTTTCATGATGATGATAATAATAAACTTTATTTGTATTCCGCCCTATCTCCCCGAGAGAATTCGGGGCGGATTCCAGCATAACAATGGCAAACATATTCAGTCTATCTTTTATATAAATAAAAATGTAATGTAATGTTCGTTTGTGGGATTAACATAACTCAAAAACCACTGGGCGAATTGACACCAAATTTGGACACAAGACACCTATCAGGCCAATAAGTGACCATCAGTCACAAAAACATGGAAAAACACAGCAGAAGAGACTTAAAAAGCCAAAAAACAAAAAATACATTACAATGCATGTGCAAAACCACACACACATATACATACATATACACAATTATATGCAGAAATATATACACACATATATGCACACACAAAACAAATACACATAACGGGGAAAGGAAGGAAGGAGGAAAAGAGGGAGAGAAGGAAAGAAAGAAAGCTAGAGAAGGAAGGAAGGAGAGAAGGAACGAAAGAGGGAAGGAAGGAAGAAAAGAGACAAGGAAGGGTCGAATCAAAGAGCAAAGGAAGTGAGAAAAGAAACAGGTAGAGAAGGAAGGAAGTAGAAGGGAAAGAAAAAGAGGGACAGAAGGAGAGAAAGTGGGAGGGAAGGTTGGTCGTAGCAATGCGTGGCAGGTACAGCTAGTCTATATAAATAAAAATGTAATGTTCGCTTGTGGGATTAACATAACTCCAAACCTCTGAACAAATTGACACCAAATTTCGTCACAATACACCTACTAACCCAAGGAGTGACCATCACTCAAAACATTGATTTTGTCATTTGGGAATTATAGTTGCTGGAATTTATAGTTCACCTACAATCAAAGAGCATTCTGAACTTCACTAATGATGGAACTGAACCAAACGTGGCACCCAGGACTCCCAAGACCAACAGAAAACAGTAGAAGGGTTTGGTGGGCATTAGCCTTGAGTTTGAGAGTTGTAGTTCATCGACATCCAGAGAGCACTGTGGACTCAAACAATGAAGGACCTAGACCAAACTTGGCACAAATATTCCATATGCCCAAATATTTATTTATTTATTTATTTATTTACTATATTTGTATACCGCTCTTCTCAGCCCTCAAGGTGACTCAGAGCAGTTAACAAAGCAAATACAATACATAAACATGATAAAAACAGTTAAAACAAGTTAAAAGAATAACATTATAACAATCAATAACAAACCCTTTATTTCCATTATTTTATCTATCCATTGTGTCTTTAAAGGGATTAGTTCAAATTTCCAAAATTTGGCAAAAATAATTCTAGCCACAGTTGTGAAAAAAGGAAAAAGTTTATCCAAGTTAGGGCTCTTAAATATTTTGAAGTCAAACACTCCTAATAAGTAAAATTTTGGTTTCATTGGAAAATCAATTCTTAATATTTCTTACACCCTTTATGCACCATTTTTCAGTACTCTAATGTTTTTCACAGGACCACCACATATGGTAATATGAACCTTCATGTAATTTACATTTCCAACAGAACGGGAAACATTTGATGGTTCCCATCACACCTGTTTTGCAGTTATAAACATGGGAATAAAGTGCAATAAGAGATAGGAGCTCTGAACATGTTTGCTGGCCCGTGTTCAGAGTTCCCTCCTTTCATGACACTTCTGCCTCTTTTCAACCCTGGAACATGTGATGAGTTCCGTGCCTCTCTGTGCTTAAAAAGAGGATGAAGTGTTCAACTGGGAAATTCCTCAATGTGATGGGGTGGTAATTTTTATCAGTTTACACAGTCTTTAGCCTTCTCTGCCCAAGGGTGCTGGAGTACAGCCAGCCTCAGTTAGGCCTCCTAGCGCTTTGGAAATCAAGAGAACTGAAAATGAAAGAAGATGTCTGTGGGTGGGGAGTAAATGCATAGAAGACAACACTGGTCATGGTACTCAAGCTAAATGGCTTAGTCATTCTTGGATATGTAATCCCAAAGCCACAAAAATAGTGCCATCTGAGAGATGTAATTTACTGCTAGGTTAGAGGATGGAGCGAAATGAAATCCTGGCTCAGGAAACTGTAGGATGGAAACTAGCTGCCAGCTTTCTCTTCAGAGGCCTGGGATGTTAATACCCCCTGCCACCTGTCCCAGCCTGGCAAGTGTTCCTGTTTACAAGAATCAATGCAAATGTGGAGAGGTGACCTTTCTGTCACTCTTCCATATCCACAGGTTCTGTATACACAGATTCCACCATCCATGGCTTGAAAATGTCCTTCCTCTTCCAAATACCCAAAAGCAAGCCTTGATTTTCCCATGATATATGAGGATACCATTTTACTACACCATTGTATATATTGAAATGTGAGCATCCAGAAATGTTGCTATCCACAGGAGGTCCTGGAACCAAACACCAACCGATACCAAGGGCCCAGCGTATGATGGTTTTGGATTTGGCAAATGCATATGTGTCTATATTGGAGCATGCAGCATTCAGTTGGAACCTCAGCTTTAATGTTGGGAGTAGTTGGAGTTCAGTAAGGCTAATTTAACATGAAGTAAAGGAGCAATATTTGTTCAGAAGCTGGCACGCTGGAATCCAGCAAAACAGAAAGTGGAAGAATATGGTCATACTGAAATGTATCTGATGTCATGGGTAGTAAAAATGTTTGTCATGGTACTAAGATTAAATGGCTTAGTCATTACATATATAATCTTAAGGCAAAAAAAAGTGCCACCTGACAAATGTAATTTCCTGCCAGATCAAGAGATGGGAGAAGGTGAGATACTGGCTTAGGAACCAGTAGGGTGGCAAACTAGCTACCAGCTTTATCTTGGTAAAAAGTTGTTAACACTCCAAAATCTGTAGACTCCAGAATGTTTTCAATCTTTCCCAAAGGCTGGCTGCTTTCCAAGTCAGTGTGACAAAATTAGTAGATATTGGCACATAGTTCATAAAGCATTTTAATTCAATTAGTTTGGTGGTAGACATTTAGGATTAACTGGTGTATTGAGATTGCTAATCTGTTAGGTGTTTAACTTGACTGTATTGTTTAAATTCATGAACATCACCATTCCACAACCATTGATAAATTCGTACATTTCTTTTTAACAGTATAGCTGAAATCCAAAAAGATGTGGAGTATCGTTTGCCATTCACTGTAAACAACTTGACAGTTAATATTAATATGTGAGTATCATCTGTGTGATCTTAATTATATCCTAGCTCAATAATTTGATATATTGTCAAAGGCTTTCATGACTGGAATCCCACATAATCTGCTTTGAACTGGAATATATAGCAATGTGGACTCAGATAACCCAGTTCAAAGTGGATATTGTGGAATTTTCTGCCTTGATATTCTGGGTTATATAACTGTGGAAGGGCCCTGGGAGGAGGAGGTGAGGAGCTCATAGTTTGAGCTCTCTGGATGTCATATAAACCAGACAAAATCTAATCTGACTTTCTAACTGATTTTACATGGGCTGTGTGAATTGTTTTATTAATAAAGATTGAAATTTGAATAGATGAATCATTTTTCTTTGGGTATGTTGGAATTCTCAAGAGGAAAGTCTCAGTTGCCAGTAATTTATAGGAAGGAAAACCTCATATCTTACTGTGTTGTAGAATAAAAAATATCTTAATTTGCATTATGTTCATGAATTCAGTAGTAGTGACAGAGTTGTTTTTTTTACAGCTTGCTACCACCTCAGTTTCCTCAGGAAAAGCCAATCATCAGTGTTTTCCCACCCATACGACATCATTTAATGGACAAACAAGGAGTGTATGTTGCCTGCCCTTTAATAAGCAGTGTATGTATAATTGTGCAAGCTTCTAGAATAATAATGGGGTGGCCAAGAGTAGAATTGTTTGCATGTTTTTGGAATTATTACAGTGTTCCCTCACTTATTGCGGGGGTTCCATTCCAGGACCCCCCGCAATAAGTGAAAATCTGCGAAGTAAGGACACCATATTAATTTTAATATTTATACATGATTTTATATATTATTTTCTTACTTGCACTTCCCTACCCGCATCCCGGCCCATCGCAAGGGCGCTTTCCTGCCTCCCTGCCCTCTGCAGACCCCAGCATAGCCTCCAAATCCACAAAGCCAGCAGCAGGCCAGGGAGGCAGACCTTCCCCACCGCACCTCAGGCCACTGCACTTCCAGGGTCGCTGACCTCCACTGGACATAAATATTTTATATTTAAATTTTTAATTAATATTTTCAAAAACCCACAAAACAGCAAGTTTGCTATTACCAAAACATGAAGTAGCAAGGGAACACTGTAGTAGCAGTCATAATTCTGGGTAACAGAGTAGATGCCATTAGAAAATGCACACAAGTATGACAACGTGGTCTGTATAAAAAAAATTGCACCCAAAAAGTGAATTGCAGTCATTAGTAGTTTGCATGGGTTAATTTTGTATATATATTTTTAAATAATCCATAAATATATTTTACAAATGTCTCTTATTTTAAGAATCCCAGTTTATATTGTCGGTTCAATCCAGCCCTGTACGTCTATGCATGCAAGATATTATGAATAGGTTCATAAGACGAAGTGTACATGTCATTAACAATTGTATCAATCACCTCAAGATACCTCACAAACACACACAAAATTGTCTTAAGTATGTCATTGTATCACCTGCGCCAGTCATGTTAAAAGTAATAAAGCTTTTTAATCTCCTAACAGTTCACAATGCACTCAGATCTTGGGAAAATTGTCCAAAGTATACTTGATGAGTTTTGGAAGAATCCTCCAGTTTTGGCTCCTAATTCAACATCATTTCCATAGTAAGTAAATAAGGAAGAAAGAGTTCAATAATTGAAATGAATACGTAAATTAGTTGTGCATTTGTGTTTTGTAAAGTCTCCCTGGACCCGAATCTGCAAAATGTGGCTGCCATTCAGATCAGACATTATAGCTAAACCATGGGCTATATTTTGGGTTCCCATTTTTCTGTCTCCTACACATTCAGATTCCCTTCTCCAGTTTCTTGCCCACAATAAGTCTTATTTGCAGTGATGTTCAAATTACCATAAAGTGTTTGCCCTCAAGCCAAAATTGCAGATGTGGAGTTTGTTTCCAGAAGGTGCCAAATCCATCTGAACCAGTTTTGTAGGAATTAGAAAAAAATATGTGCTGAGGTTACGCATTCTTTGCTGTAAAATTTAGTTTTTCAAGCCTTGTACAGAGGTGAGCTAATACATTTTGATACACTGATCTGTACATAATATTGTATCTCTAGCCAACATTGTGTTACCACCTATAACTCATTTTTCATTTTTTTTTATCTGGTACCTTTTGGGGGGGGGACGGGACTCCACAGGTGACCTTGAACACAGCTTCCACATCACATTTGAAATGAAGTATGTTATGTGGTAATCATAATTCTGCTTTTTTGGATGCCTTAATAAACTATAGTTAACTTGGCAAGATCTTTTTCAAGGATGTTCACCACTGCTTTCCGCTTAAGCTGAGAAAATATTTCTTGCCCAAGATCATCCAATGGATAAGCAGGGATTTGAACCCTGGTCTCTAAGAATCTAAATCCAAAATATGAACCCCTACATCACTATTAGAAATGTGATGTTAGTTGCCCTCAGACTTAGAGTCAAAAGAAGTTTGTCGCCAGTTCTAAATGCCAAAGGATGGTTTCACGAACAGCACAACCCCTCCCACACACATTATCACAAGCTTATCTGGAAAAGCTACGTATGTTTTTAAAGATATGAAATGACACTTTAGTGGTATTGTTACACAGTCAGGTTAATAGAGTGAGCTTGGAATGTTATCTTTTCAAAGTTATTTAATCTCATTGTCGCTTTTAACAAGGAACCAGTTTTCATTTCATTTCTGGGTTGGAGGTGGGGAATAACTTGTTAAGTTACTTGCATAAAGCTTGAAAGTTTGTGTCAAATGCCTGCCTGTAACGATGTATTAAAATGCCCTTTAAAAGTAGCCAAAACTTCACTTGCTACACTGCCAGGAAGCTTTGTTCCTACTTTCTGTGTTAATTTTAACAATGCCACCCTCATTATCCAGAAAAATAACTCATTTTAGGTAACTGTTACTTATAACTGCTGCTTTCACTTTCCAATTCATGATGCATTGCATCTGCCTTTTACAAGAAATTTCTCACCAACACCTTTGTATTCTTTGGTAAGCTTTGCATTTGAGGAATAGCGCTGGAAAACGATGAAAGATTGCTGATGGCAAATCCCCTCTTCGCCTTTTTCTTCTTAGCCTTTACAACAAACCTGCTGGAATTCCTTCATACCCTCAGAATTTCCCATTTCTTTCTCCGTATCGGCCACCAGAAACAAATAGGTCTATAGCACCTGTACCGGATTCACTTTCTTCAGGCTACACAACAGACAGACCTGCTGCTCCTTCCTTTGGTATGATATCAGACTTGCCATTACCTGTTCCAACAACAGAAACATTTTCACAGGTATTTATCAGTAGCAAGCTTTATGATTCTAGCTATTTTCTTGTACATAAATACCAGCCCAAAGATCCAGTAAATGGAGAACCCAGAAGTATTGACAGGCATAGAAGTTAAAATAGTCAGGAAAGAAGATAAAGTATATACATATGATCCACTAACTCCCCAGAATTGCTCACGTGGCTGCAAATCAAACAAACAGATTGTGATCTCTTATGGTATCATGGGGATCATGAACAGAAAAGCACATTTTGTACCCAAAATAATTAATTCCTACTAAAATAATTAATTCCTACTGATTGTCCTTTAGCCTTTTGATGAGAAACAAGAAATACTTTCTAATTAAAAATTCATACGTGACCCCACTTTCTTCGTTAAGACCAGTGGTTCTCAACCTTCCTAATGTCATGACCCCTTAATACACTCCCTCATGTTATAGTGACCACCCCAACCATAAAATTATTTTTGTTGCTAATTCATAACTATCATTTTGCTGCTGTTATGAATCGTAATGTAAATATCTGGTATGCAGTATATATTTTCATTCACTGGACCAAATTTGGCACAAATATCCAATATGCCAAAATTTGAATACTGGTGGGGTTGGGGAAAGACTGATTTTGTCATTTGGGCGTTGTAGTTGCTGGGATTTATAGTCCACCTACAATCAAAGAGCATTCTGAACTCTACCAGCAATGGAATTGAGTCAAACTTGGCACACAGATTTCCCATGACCAACAGAAAATACTGGAAGGGTCTGGTGAGCACTGACCTTGAGTTTTGGAGTTGTAGTTCATCTACATCCAGAGAGCACTGTGAACTCAAATAATGATGGATCTGGACCAACCTTGGCATGAATTCTCAATATATCCAAATGTGAACACTGATGGAGTTTGGGGGAAATAGACCTTGACATTTGGGGGTTGTAGTTGCTGGGATTTATAGTTCACGTACAATAAAAGAGCATTCTGAACACTACCAACGATTGAATTGGGCCAAACTCCCCACACAGAACCTCTATGACTAACAGAAAATACTGTGTTTTCTCATGGTCTTTGGCGTCCCCTCTGACACCCCCTCGTGACCCTTCCAGGGTCCCGACCCCCAGGCTGAGAAACACTGGTTTAGACTTTTATTAAATAAGTTTGTTCCTGAACTTGTTTTTCTACCATATTTTGGGGCGTCCCTGTTTACCTTTTACAGTGCATTCATTTGTGTCCTTACTGAGATTTAAGACAACTGAGATCAGTGAGACCTATTTCTGTGTAGATTGATGTAGGATTGTGCTGTGTTTGCTCCTATCCAACACATTTAATTTTAAAACTTTTTAATGTTGTAATTACAGTGCCACAAGAAATAATTTTGTGTTGTTTTTCAGATTTATAAGCTATACATTTGTCTTTAGAAATAAATAGTATTCAGTGTCTTAACATCTTCCTAACATTTTCAGGGGAGCCAAAATGGATTCAGTTACAAAATGCCTGATGTTCCTGATGCATTTCCAGAACTATCTGATCTCAGGTAAAAATATAAAAAGTAATCTATTATTTAAAAGTGTGCTTTTAAAGTCTAAGGTAGTTTTTGATTTTACTAGATATATATACTATTTATTTTGTCATGGGATTTTTATGCTACTTGTAATACATGGGTGATGTACATTACATGTGAAACCAATGTAAGTACAAAATATGTTTCAAAACCATGCCCTCAGAATTGCATAAATAAAACAACAACAAAAAGCCCTGCATCCATAGTTAAGCATAGATTTTGAAACCTTCTCACAGTGGTAACAAGGTTGAGGAAGCAACTAACCTCTTGAAACCATGTAGACGTATCTTGTAGAAGTATTGCTGTTTGCAAAACCCCACCATATGAAAAATGAACCACCAATAAATATAAAAATGCAAATAGCTCAAGTTGTACAGCCGATTCTCAATTTTCACAGGTTTAACTTTCACAGATTTAATATTTTCAGGTTTACCATTAATATCAAAGACATTTCCAAAAAGGTTCTGAAAAATTACTGTGCACATAGGGTTTTTTTTTTTTTTGGTTTTTTGTTGTTGTTTTTTTTTTGCAGGACAATTGTCCATTTTTTAAAAAAAAAAACCTGTTTCTAAATAGCCATATGTTTAGGGAGAGGAACTGGTGTTTCTTGCTAAATAAATAAATAAATAAATTTGTTTCCATTAAAAATGATCACACTTGTATATATGTACCTCCATTGTTTTTTCATTATTGAATCTGGGGAATTGTCATGACTTGAGTGTACTGTCCTGTCTCTATTCCAAGTAATTGGCTTGCCCCGAAAATGAGACCGTGATTAACTTCAGATTTCTGAAATATTATTGCTCTATAAAAATGAAAATATGTGCAGCATTAAAGCAAGATGTAATGGTTGATACAGAAGGTTTAGATAATATACACAAAGTGAAGGAAATGTGTTTAAAACAAGATTGCTTAACTAATACACAGCTAGCTATTCTGCAAAATATTCTTTTTTTAAAAAAATGTTTTGAAATTCAGTATATCGCAGCTGACTGACATGAATGAGCAAGAAGATATACTGCTGGAACAATTTGTTAGTCTGCCCCAATTGAAGCAAGTGATTAATGATAAGGATGATCTAGTGAAAAGTATCGAAGAGCTAGCAAGTAAGTCTTTAAAATATTTATAATTCACATAATGCTGTGTGGGGTTAACAGTAACATAGTAAAATTGAACAGTGGCTTTACTTTACAGAAAAAAACTTGCTCCTGGAACCAAGCTTGGAGGCCAAAAGACAGGCGGTGTTGGATAAAGTAAGCGAGTTGGGTCAAAATGTACCTCTTGGGTCTTTGAAGATGGTTTGTGTCTGCTTTGTTAATAATAATAAAAAAAATTGGTTTCCCTCTCAGTATGAGCAGCTTACTCAGTTGAAAGCCACATTTGAAAAGAAGATGCAAAGGCAGCATGAACTTAGTGAGGTATTTATTTATTTGTATTTACGACATTTCTACCCCACCTTTCTCAACCCCAGATGGGACTCAAGGCGGCTTTACAACATAGGCAGCTATTCAATGCTATTAAAAACAATGTAAAATGGACATTTAAAATAGGATTATAAAATACATCAAAACATTTAAAAACATTTGAACCAAATTATTACTGTTAAATCACACTATTCATAATCGTATGGTTTTCTCCTCTACTATTAAGAAGAGGGAGTATGTGTTCACATTGCTTGTGATAAATTTACTGTAGGCTTCCATTTGGTCACTAACAGAGATTCTGAATGGTTTCGATCAGTGCTTCCCAACTTTTGGCCCTCCAGATGTTTTGCACTTCAACTCCCAGAATTCCTGTTGGCCAAATGGGTTGAGGTTTCCAAGAGTTGTAGAATTTTTTTGGAGTTGAAGCATTTAATCAGTATGCAATTCAGTCTTTAATTAATCCTGTCTGGAATCTACCAGCTTACTTTCCATTCTAGGATACATAATTTAACTATTTTAACTATTTGCTGTAATTTAACTGTTTGTTGATTTATTTATTAATTTCCATTTTTAGAATATGGCATTTAATTTTGTCTTTGTCTTTGGGAGCTGCCTTGAGTCTCTTTGGGGAGAGGGGGCAGGTTAGAATTAAAGGTTGTTGTTGTTGTTGTTACTACCCGTCTTTTGATTGTATTCTATGTACTGAATAAGATAATAGTTTCTAGCTGACTACATTAAGCATAGCATGAACAAGGTAGCACCACTATCACAGAACTTCCTTTCCTTCTGTAATAATCCATCAGAGCTGTCCAAAAGCAACCATGCGGAGAATTATCCTGCCAGAGAAGTGTGCAAAGAAGTGTGCAAAAGAAAGGGAAAGCCACTTCATTTCCACTGATTTATTTGTGTCCTGCTGATGTCCAGAATTAGTCCTTGTCCAAAATTTATTAATATTTCTAAATTAGAATCACACTGTAGTTATTGCATGCCTTTATCCCACTCATTAAAAGGTGTGTTACAGTTTCAGGAACATAACACTACTTTTGGCTGTTTTTTGTTGTTAGAATTCTATTGTCTATGAAACATTTCTGATTTCCACAACACTCTTCTTATTCGTAGAGCTGTAGTGCAAGTGCTCTGCAAGCACGACTGAAAGTGGCTGCTCATGAAGCTGAAGAAGAGTCTGACACAATTGCAGAAGACTTTTTGGAAGGGAAAATCGAAATAGATGACTTTCTTAGTAGCTTCATGGAGAAAAGGACGGTATGTAAAATCCTGAAATAGGCAAATATCTGACACATCATAAGCTATTTCAGAATGACAATAATGCATAGAATTAATTTATCTTCTGTTGATCTAAAGATAGATATTTTAGAGAATTACGATCTTTGGAAAGGCATGACCTTGTTAGAAATCATAACCTTTTGGAAAAATGATACCACAACCTTTTGGAAAATGGCATTCATTAACATTTGGGAAAATCAGGAATCTTCCTGAGAAGAGTTAAACACTCACCTGAGTCAACTTTCTCCCTAATGGCAAATATCCACCAATATTTAGCAAGGCAATTAGGTTTCTCAGCTGTTAAACTGATATATCTAGATATCTCTGAACTGTTAGAGACAAAGATATGCCAATGCACAAAAACATATATATAGCAGAGTTTCAGAAAGTGTTCTTTTCAGTTGCCCAAAACATATCTGCTCTCCCTTAAAACATCCTGGTTTAAATCATGCTCTCAATAGACCAAAAATACGTAAATAGACTTCTTTAAAAATAACATAGTTGATTTATTCACAAACTTCATGTATTCAGCATACCTACACACTACATTGCACAAAAGGGGCCCTGTCATTCCTGAAAGTAAACAGGTCTTGGTAGTAGGCGACTCCCTCCTTAGAGGAACGGAAGCTGTCATTTCCAGACCAGATGGGATGGCTCGAGAAATATGCTGCCTACCGGGGGCATATTTATGTCGTTCCTTTGTCCGCTGTCGAGATCTACGGTAGGTCCTCTGGGGCCTCTCGGAGATCTCGATTCATGTAGGAACCAATGATACTGCAAGGCATACGTTTCAAAAGATCACAAATGATTTTCGAGTTCTAGGAAGAAAGCTAAAAGAATGTAATGTACAGGTGGTCTTTTCATCCCTCCTCCCTGTTGTAAGACACGGACCCACAAGAGCCAAAAAAATAGTACAGGTCAATGACTAGCTTAGAAAATGGTGTCAGGAGGAACGCTTTGGCTTCCTCGACCATGGCCTGCTTTTCCAGGAGGATGGCCTACTGGCAAGGGATGGGGTGCATCTCACACAAGTAGGAAAACACCTTTTTGCTCACAGACTCGCAAACCTCATTAGACGCACTTTAAACTAGGTCCACCGGGGGAGGGAGACAACAGCCTTGCGATCACTACTTTACCCATAATGTCTGGGAATCGCCAGAAGGCTAAACGGAGGGCTGCACAAACACAACAAGGACCAAGTACCAAAAGCACAATAATCCCAATTAAACAGCTCAAGGGAAGATCTCAGGGGTTCACATGTCTTTACACTAATGCACAGAGCATGGGAAAGCGGCGGCGGCAGCAGCAGCGGTAACAGCAACAAGCAGCTGCCCCCAGTTTCCATGGCTTGCTTGCCTACGGGAGCCGCGAGGGGCCTGGCCCCGGAGAACTCGAAGGGAGACCCGGTGGAATCCTTCCTCGCCTTTTCCTCCCCGGCATCGGCGGCGTTGAGGGGAAGCAATGCGGCTCCGCTGGCGAGGCGCGATCGTCCCGCCTCAGTGCCCCTCTCCTCTCCCCACCGCCTAGGGGCGCCCACAAAGCCCCCCCTCCTCCTTTTAAAGTCAAGGATGAGGCTGGCCCAGCCCCCCCGCCGGTGCCCAGCTCTGGTATATTTACTTCCGGCTTCCGGCATGGTGGTCAGCAGCAGAAACGCTGAGCTGCTGAGACCAGAAACCAAATCCAAAGGAATCCTGGGTTCCCCCCTCTTCGACCATCTCTAAACTGAGGGGAGAGAGACCCTGGGCCTCAGGCTTCCGGCAGAAAGACGAGAAGCCCGGGGAGAGAGCCAGGAAGGCGTAAAGAAGGTAAAGAAGGTGGTGAGGAGGAATAAAGGGAAAGCCGTCATTAAACCGCGGTCGGCCTTCTTCGTCTTAAAAAAGTCGCCGTTCTCAACACCAATTGGCGACCTTACCCTGGCTGCTTTTCTCCTCCGGCTGGCACTGCTGGCACCGCTGAGACCGCTGCCGCTGCTGGCACCGCTGAGACCGCCGAGACCACAGCCTAGCCACACCATCGCCAGGCCATAACAGCGCGGAGGCCGCCATCTGGCCGCCAGGTTGGATCCCCGCAGCGAGCGGCGCGGCTTGGATCGCCCTCGCTCCATTGGTGAGGTGCCGCGGCCGGGGAGATCTTTCCGCCCGGGAGTGGAGTGGGGCAGCGAACAACAGCCAGAAACGCCCTCCCTGCCGGGAGTGGCGAGGAACGGCGAGCCGCCATTGCTGTGGAGCCGCGGGGGGCGCCCCCC